CCAGTAGCCCTCGGAGGCCCGGGCTTGACTTGAGCTGCGGCACCGTGGGGCTATGCCGCTCCATGCCGCTGCTGCGCGAGCGCTCCATCCTTTGCTGATGCCTACATGCGGGTCCTAGCCTCCGCAGCACGGGTGAGGGCGCCCACCGCGTGCGGCAGACGAGGGCTTAGGCGACTACACGGATGACTGTGGATGAACAAAACAAGAAACAACTCCTCTGCCCCTCCGTAGCAGCAGCAGTGTTGCAATCAGAAAAAATCCGAAAATGATCAATGTTTTTCAAGCGCAACGCCGTTAGGGCAAGCAAAGAACACATCGGCGACGTTCGACGATGCCCACGCGGTGCAATTCGCAACGGTTGAAAAGATCCATGAGGGGATCATTGGCCTGCCCTGGAATGACAGAAGCAGACGGCGCACTGCTGCAGGAAGTTGTTTTTGAATTGCCCAGGGTCAGCGCATTCCAACTGGCCAACTTCAGACGAAGGCGACAAGGAAACATCAAGAGTCGGCTTTCGTCTGCCGCGCTGCCATGCCCCACAGCATCGCGGGCCAAAGACATCAAGCGATAGCGAACTCGACCAAAATAATAGTAATAAGATAAGCCCGTGGCAGAATGGCCATCTGCACTTTTTACGCCCAAAGCAAACAATCTGGACCTCGGGATTTCAATACTTTCAGTATGGCTCCATCCAGTGGGCACTCCTCATCTCAGGGTCGCTAGTTGGGCATAGTAGAGACCATATATGACAGCACAAAGCGGGGGACGCGTGGCCTTTTGTGTTTCCGAACGGCAAAAAGTGTGTGGCGATTTTCCTCCCCATCCCTCTCCACCCTCCCCCCTCAACATAAGCTGATCTTGGATTCCCTTAAGCCCTTAAGCTGCTCGTATCATACATGTGCCCGGCGCGTCCTCGCACTCCTTACCACTCGACCACCAGCTCTTTTTTCAAGAACATCCCACCACGCTGGCTCTGACACCTGCAAGTGCAATTTCTGCAGTGACAGGTGCAATTGGAAGTGAGAAGTTATCGCCATGCACGATCACGTGTCATAGGAAGTCACAAACAGACTCGGGGTGAGGTGACGGCTGTAGGATGAATATTTGGATCTTCAGGCCCAAAATGTAGCTGCGGGGCCGTGCAGAAGAATCAAAATCAGTTTGCCTGCGCAGCTGAGCTCAGGCTCGCGGCATGAAGGATTCTAGTGCCGTATTTTCGGCATCTAATCCCCAAGCAAAGTTACAGTCCACAGCCTGCCAGTCTTTGGCAACTGTTGGAGGGGTTGGTTTTGTATGGTTTGGTGAGTTTGGTATTGGGGCATATGGCGGTGCATGGCGGTGCCTGACAGTTGTGGGGTTCGTTCCCTAGTCACCAAGTTTTGGCAAGTACAGGACCCCTGCGGGCATTTCAGGCACCGCCGTATATACATCGCACCCTGCCAGGATCTGCCAAGCATATTTAAACTTGAAAACAAACCTTGCCGGACACAAGCGTAACTCGCTATGATGAACAAGCGTAACTCGCTATGATGAACCGGTCACGCTGGTCGAAACAGGCAATCACGGCTGCCGCCGATCCTGTCTTCCGCGCGCTCAAGGTGCGCCAGCAGACACCATCAGGCAAAACAAAACCAAAAAAAAGCGCATCCAACATCAACCAGATCTGAGCTCTTGCGCTTGCGTGTCCTGCGATAGCTTCGAGGCCTTCGATGCCTTCGAGGCCTTCGAGGCCGCCGAGTGTATCTTGGAGACTTCCTGAAGCGTGCGAGATGAAGTCGGTGGCACTTCGGCAACGTCTGGAGGAGGGCTTACAGGAATGCGCAAGCAGCTATTCAGAAGAACAAGTCAGCTACTCAGTCGGGTGGTGGTTTGTCGATGAGACACCCTCTTTCAGAAGCGCCTAGTGGGCCTAAGGAGACCCTGAAGATGAAAAGCAGGCCAAGGCCAGCGACAGCGAATAAGCTTCGGACTCCGGCGCGATAGCCATCAATCCAACCATCTTCGCCTTGCCAGTGAGAATGACAATATGTACTGAAGCTTCAGGATTAGGATTGGTTGGGGGGTGGAGCTGTGAACCTCACTTCACTCTGTCTCAAGTTACACTTACACTTACACTTACACTGCCACTGCCATTTCCACTTCCACCTACACGTACAGTTACACTTACACTTACACCTCCACTTACACACACGGAGACACAGAGACACGCAGACACGCAGGCGCACAGATGCACAGACGCAGAGAGGAGAGAGAGAGAGAGAGGGAGAGGGAGGGAGGGAGAGGGAGGGAGCAAGAGTTCTGCCTTGAGCTTTCTCCCATACCATGTGGAACCTGAGGAATGATTTCTGCAGGCGTCACAGGTTTTAGGGCTTGTTAAAGAGTTTTTAAAGGGTGTTTGCGGGGTACTAGTGACCCCAACTCAAACCTTTAGGCCTTTAGGGGTCACATGTTTGTGGGGCTTAAAGGCTCAGAGTGCTGAGGCTTCGGGATGTTTGCATTTTGGGCTCCTGCGCGCCGTGGTTCACAGGACTCCACGGGTCTACCTGTGTCGAGGCTGGCGACCCTAAACCCTTAACCCCAGAAACTCTCTCACACTGGAACTCCCAGCCCCTGAACCCCTCCCCAACAAAAAGTAGGCTGCCCAAAACCCGGGCACACACGCGACCCTCAACTCTCAGGCCCCCGCTGCTCTCTTAGCATGGCGATGTGGAAACCCTTCCGAGTCTGCAGTTCCTGACAGGTGCACAGGGTATCTGGGGTCCCTGGTTCGTGCGCGGCTCAGGGCTTATGCCGGGCTCATATCCGCCAACCCCCCAACGGGGTCTGCGTCCGTGAGGTCTTTGTCGGGTGTCCCCAAAACCCTCCACTTCCCCCGCCCTGCCACCCTTTCCTAAGAAGTCTTTGTCTGGTCCCCCCCCAGGCCAAGGGGGTCCGGTGAAAGCAATGATGGGGATATTCATAAACATCGCCTTGGCCACAAGTCCAAGAATCCAAAATTGTGCTGCCGATGGCTTAAGAGTTCCATTGCAGAAGTGTTTTCATCCGAGGACGAAGTCGCGCTCGCAGAGCAAGAAGAGCTGCAGAGAGGGAGGCAGAACCCTTGAACACAAGCCAAAGCACCGAGACCCCCAGACCCCAGAGCCAGACCCCCAGAACCACTTAGTTGCCAGCCCCTTTGTTTTTGGCACCCTCAAAACCCCGAAATTCAAAACAAATTTGGGGGGGGGGGGGGGGTGGGGTGGTTCAGGGGTTTAGGGGAAACAGGCCAGGGATAGGGCTGAAACATGCTGAAACCAGGTTTTACAGAAAAGCTGTGGTGCTGCTGCTGCTATCCGCTATCTGGGCTTGCGGATGGGACCTCTTGGCCTTGAGCTCTTGGGATTTAGGCTCTCGTTTGCTTCTACGCCCGCCTGCATCGAGACCTCGTCACTTCGACGGAAGCGCAGAGCCGCAATGCCTGCGAGAGAAACTCAGAGGTTGCGTGAGGGTCTCCACTTCCTAGTATAGGCATCGTTTGTCTGGTGGGTGAGTTTCTAGGAACTTCCAGAAAACAATGCTGTTCGTCACTGTGGAGCTTGCAAAAAGATGGAAGCTTTGTGTGGCGCGCAACTGGGCAGTTCGGAATTTGCGTTCCCTTATGGAATGTCCAAGAGGAGCAAAGCGACCAGAACCTGGAGAACTGAACTGGCCGAACGGCACCAGCTGCCTGCGATGCCGATATCCCTCATCTCACGGATCCAGCCTCGAGTGCAACAAGAAGCGGTCTTTCAGTGCTTCGCTCACCTCGGCCTACCCGTCTGTCAGCGCCCGTTGCTGCCCCTGTGGTTACATGTTCCACTCTGGTGTGACGCTCTTAGCGGCGATTGTCAAGTGGCGTAGGAAGACCACGAAGCTGACGTCCTCCGGCCCAGCGGGGGCGTCCTGCCAGATAGGACGATGTTCACACCAGGCTAACAGAAAGCTCTTGACGTGTCTTCAGTTTCGCTCTTCTCTTCCTGAAAAATCCTGGCCTTGTGGTGGTCTTTGTCTTTGGGCGGCTTCACAAGCATGCCTCACGCGACGCTACCCAATCGCAGGAAGCTCGGCCAAGGCGTGCAGCTTCAATCGTGTTTTACTAAACTAACACAACATATATTTGAAATATCTTTGAATGAAGTAGAATGCAGCGTGATTTACTTTCGTATGAGAAAAACAGCATAGTAATTGGATATAGAGTATCGTGCAAGCTGATTATCTGATACGTTCTGCTCGAAAAGCAAAAGGAATAGAACACAGTCGTAAAATCGTATCATAAGTATCAAGCAATAGTTACGCACCAGATACTAGAAATATAGAACCGAACCGAACTGAATATCGTAAAATATAACACAATACAGAAGAATATGAGAAAGGAAAATATTCTGTAAAATAGCAGCCAGGAAGAGAATATTGCAGAATGCCGCGCAATACAACATGAAGCAGCATAATATTGTATCTTAGAATGTGGTATACAATGTTCTCATATAGTACTGCATGTGGCAATACTGTTATGTATGTGTAACACATATGTATCGGGAATAAGAGTTGGGGTCCCCACGGAGCCGCCCAACATCCGTGGCGTCTAGGGGTGGTACCCCGCATCTTGTGAGGAGCTCCTGCAGTGAGCGGTCTGCCGGCTCCACAACTCTTCTCGGTGACCCCAGCCCGGCAAAAGGACGGAAAATGTGTTGAAGAAATTGCTGCAGCAAGATCTTCACAAGTGCACAACGGCCACCCCACCTGCATCGCGTCCAAATTGCCCTGTCAACGAAGCAGGAAAAAGGCAAAGCTGCCGGACCAATGCCCAAGCCAACCCAAGACTGCATCACCACGCTGTTTGTGAATTAGCCCACTGCCAACGGTCGGCCTTACCACCAGAGCTTTTCATGGACGCTTTCAGGCTGCAAAAGCTGCTGTGGAGCTCACGCATGTCCTGCCGTCTGCCAAAGTTGCACCAGTCTATTTAGGATACTCGAATACTCTCAAAGAGCATGATTCGCATGATGGATCGACTCTCCAGCATGCTCCATGCAGTGGGCTGTTGGCTCCTCCAGCTCCAGAAGGCCGTAGTTTCCGCTCTTGACGGCCTACGAACGAGGCTACGTGGACTCGCATCTATGGTACAATTTCCCGCCGACATCCAATCTCTGAACCTCTTAGCACAGTCCACTGCCTTGGTCTCAGAGCGAAACTCGTCGATGCGCACTTCGCGCTCCAGCTCACGCAGAGCCCGGCTGGCAATACCTGGACGCCGGGGTGTTGAGCAAGGCGCGCTCCGACTTCCCAAGTCAGGTGAACCTTGCTGCATCTACGCTGTGTGCTCACTCGGCTCACCAACCCAAGAAGCCCTTAAGCGGTTTGCGGGGTCGAGACAGACCAGCTTTGAGTTTTCTCTAGTGGCCATCGGCCCTGGCGCACGGAGGAAGTCTCGAAAGCTGAGCTGTGCCCCAGCGCCCATCCTGGGGAGGCAAAGATCTGCGCCGGGAGTACTGGCATCTGGCATCCTATGACGGGCCTAACGTCTGGTGGAAACTAGTCGGCTCGGGCAGCCGAAGAGATCAACGAAGAACTTTACTTTGTCGTGCTGTGGGTTGGGGTTAGCCGTCGGTTGCTACTCTTTGCTTCGCATGGCTTTTGGGTATGCCATGGTACGCCCTGAAACCCTTCAACCCCGTAGCCCTCAGCCCTCAGGACTCCCCCAACACATCGAGAGCTTTGGGCCCCCAGCCGGCTCACTGCCGATGCCGGAGCCCACGACTCGCGACGCGACGTCTCCACAGAAAGAGAGGCCCGGCTGGCCTTTTTCGCAGGGTGAACGTTGCAGGGTGATGGGTTCTAAGGGTGCAGGTGGTTGTAGGGACAGTTCCTGCACAAGGGTCCTCAGAGAACGATTACAATGAATACAAACCTACCCTAAGCTGCCGTTGAGGATGGCAAGACCAGGTCTAGACTTGAGGCTGAGCGCCACTGCAAAGAAGAACATCACTCAATGACGACTCCGCAGCTGTCGAAGCCCTGACGACCTCAAGGCAGAGCGGACCTTTTTTTGTGTTCGCAGATGCGGGAGGGTCGGCCTTTGGCGGCATTAGCCGGCCTCGGCGGCATTAGCTGAAGCTCCGGGGAGCAGGTGGGCGGGAAGGCGCGCTGCACGCCGCCGCGTTGATGCGAGTGAGTTCACGGAGGGTATCGAGTGTGGTGATTGCGGTGTGCCTGGCGCGCTGGGCATGCCAGGCATGCCAGCAGGCGAGGCCCCCGCACCGCTATCGCCATTTACAGATGCCGGCCGGGATCGCGGCGTGACGGATGATCGCAGAGTTCGTGGCGTCCGCTGGCCTTCGGACTGGCCTGCTTCCACGAGCCACATCCTTGGTGAAACCGCAAATTGTGATTCATGGAGACGCATGGGACCTTCAAGAGGGTCCCAATGCAACTCATGCGACCTGCCTCCAGCCTTGAGCCTCGATCTGCCAAGTCTCGGATCCCAGGCCTCCTCATCTGTGGGCATGTTGGCCACATTGGCATCGGCGATCCTCACCAGGCGCACCAGTTGTTTTTCCCCAAGCCTTTGAAGCACGCACTGCAATGCGCGCAGCTTGCTGGCAAAGTGGCTGCCCCGGCAGGGAATCTCCGTTGGAAGGTCCGCTGGGAGGCGCAGGCATTGGCTCCGCCCAAGGAGTTTTCGGCTGCGCGCCTGGATACGGGACTGCGGGTCAGGACCGGACCCACAACGGGGTTATTTGCCAAGCCCAGGCGTTAATCGACCCACTCTGCCTTAAGAACTGCTCGAACACTCGCAGAGGTGTTGAGTTTGAGCTTCACCAATTTCTCGAAGGCGCAAATGCGACAAAGATATTTCCGCAGATCCAGATATCTCGGGGTGGTGGGGGAGGTAAAATCAGGACATCGCGGGACTGAGCTCGAAAAGGTCAAGGTTCCTATGGTTCCTCTCGCAATCATTCCCCTTACATCTTGCTATCGTTGACCTGCGGACAACCAGAAAGGCCTTAGGGCTGGCAACTCCCATAAAGTGAGTACCTTCCTCGCGCCTGGCCATCGGACATACTTGTCCACTGTGTACGTGTCGTGATTGATATTTTCCAGTGGCACTTCCACGAGCTTGGTCCTTAGAATTTAGAGCTTAAACAGGTTACGGCTTAGGGGAGCAGGGTTCCGTATCCGAAAGGCTTTCAGTTCAACCCCTCTCTTTCTGTTCTTCGGCAGAACGGGGGGGCGGGGGAACCGCTGGGCAGCCTCCCAAACCGTTGTAAAAGGCCGAAACCCGAAAGGCCACTCTCAGGCTTCTTGGCTTTTTCTTGTGGAAACGTGAAGGCTTGGCAAGTTGCGGACCTCCCGACTTGACTTCAGATTGGAGGAATCCCTGGAACACTGCAACAGAATCGAACCCAGGCGCTGAGCCAACAAGGAAATCCTGGCTTTCTCCCCAAGCAGGTCACGGATCTCACCACGGTAGCCTCGACAAAGGCAAGCTTACCCCGACAGCTCCAGCTTACAGGCTCATACAGTAACTTATACAGTAACTTATACAGGCTTATACAGGCTTAGGGGGCGCAAGTGGGAGGTCAACTTATACAGGCTTATACAGGCTTAGGGGGCGCAAGTGGTCTCTGATGCATGGCAGGGCCTTTGTACTTGCCACCGGTGATCCGGACGGCGGTGCCTTTCTCCAGGAGGCTTCCTCCCTGCCGGCCGGCTGGCTTCTGTGCCAAGCCGAGCTGCTTGTGCCACTGCGGCCTGCGAGTTCAGTGTTCGCACGTGACACAGCTGATGCAGGTTCATCCGGGCCTCAAGAAGGACATCTCGGATGCCATCGTGATCCCATACGACATCTGCTTCGTCTGAGCTTCTGCCCCGGAAGTCTCAGGCACTCTCATTATCTGCTGCGGCCGTCTGCTTGGTAAATCATCCTCATTCCAGACGAATTCACACTTGTCACCGGGTGCGACGAGATAGGCTCGCTCACCCACCAACCCTGGCGAAAAGCAATGAAAAATCTGCAAGGGGTCTCAGCAGGCGATATGTCAAGTTTGAGTCAGGCCTTCCACAGCCTGCAAGAAGACCGTGTTTTGGTGTATGAACCTTGGATCCACTAAGTTTGATGCTGCACTCCACGGCCCATACAATGCACAGTGGCAACCGCAGCGTGGCAGACAAGTGTGGAGCTTCGCATGTGGACGTGCCGGCAGGTGGCAACACCTTGGCTTGAATAGGTGTTGTCCTGCCCGTCAGCGCCCGAGGGGCCTGCCATCAAAACAAGGCTCCTTTTTCCCAGCGTAAACCCCCTCGGTGCTCGAGCTGAGCAGAAGGCACCGGCCTTGACCATGGCCCCCGGGACAATTCTTTGCTTGATGCGGTCCTGGTCCCCCCCCATCAAAGCAAGGACACAGAACCTCCAGCCTGAGGGATGCTCAGGGTTTGAGGTATTTGGGATGAAAATTAGGCCCTTGCGCCGAGGGCTGGGCTGTTGAGGTGGTTCCCTCGCGCCGGGATATGCGGGGTGCGACAGCTTCTTAAGGTATGGGGAACTTAGTAAGCAACCGTATGCTACGAAAGACGGCGGCGAGTGACGGGATTGCGAGGGATGGGATTGACTGAACACCGCCGAAAAAGATTGCAAAGAGGACCACTGGACCCGTCCTCGCACCAAACCTGCTTCTTGTAAAAGTGCAGCTTCGGCAACTCTACCGGCAGCAATTCTGCCAGATCTGCATATTCCTGCACGCCATCCTGCGCCAGAAGCAAGGCACGCGAACCTGCTTCCAGGCGGGTGATGATGGCTCGGCCCTCGGACCGCCCCGCTACCATCACCAACTGGCCAACGTAGAATTCGCCGAGGCGGTCAGTCGTCTCCGGCTTCTCAATGCCTGTTGGCTTGTGTTTCTTGCGTTTGCTCATGTGACTCATGTTAGCTATCTAGGATCCAGGGGGGGAGGTGCGCGCTGCGACACCATTGTGCTTAATACGAGTAAAACTAACGCCAGCATCCCCGTCCAAGTCTGCATGCTTGCACATGTTTTGGCACCTCTGTGCATGTCGTTGATCTTCGCCCTGAAAGAGGTGAAGTCGTTTGTGAGGACTTGGGCCGTGGCATGTGATCCCCACTCACCGGTTGGGCCCAAGTCAACTCGCTCCACGTAACCAGCCTCACACACGATGCGTCCAAGCGCGTACAGTTCCCTACAAGGATGTTGATCCAAGATTCCTGTATTCATTTCAGCCCGCTACACGAAAGAATTACTTTCGATTACTTTCGTAAACCTTACACGGTCCCGGACGGTCCCGGACCGGTCGGCGTGCATTTACCCAAAAGACTTCGGCTCGAAAACTGACGCTGCCATGGCAGAACTTTCGTAGACGCATGTCATGATCCCTGCTTTATACTTCCCAATCAATTCTCAGAACCACTGAGAACAAGAACTTCTGTATGACGAAGATACTGTACTTGGTGTGGGGTCTGCAAGCACATGCCAGGTCGGCATTTCTGCGAGGAACAACACCGCAGCATGCGGATCCAGGCATATTAGGCATGTAAACTTAGGCAGCCTGAAGCCTGAACCTAGTCCGTGCATGGCCAAGGAACATCGCCCCTGTGCTCTCCCGCGATCACATAGACGTAGTCTCCAACTTCAAGAAACTTGCAGAGCCTGCTTATCGAGATGGAAAGGTCGTCCTGCAGATGTACGCCCATCGGCAACCCAATTGGCTTGATCAGGACCGTTGTCGAGCCTGACATTACGTCTACGACAATCCCGCGGAGGTTCTTGACGTCGCCCGAGATCACGATGACTTTGTCCCCTTCTTTCAGAGATGGCCCAGAAGAAGCAACCGTCTTAATGGGCAGTGCAGGAGGCGGCATGGCCTCTCGATCCAATTCCTCTTTGCTCTTCGGCAAGTCTGACTCTGGTCGAACATTCCCTGATATTGCTGGCGCGTTTCGCCAGTCCTGGATTTCATGCTCCGAAGGACGGGCCTGGTCACCGGAGTCGAACCATCCACGCTTGAAGTTCTTGAAGAGGAAGCCGTCTCGGTACGCCTCCCCATCGATAATGTAAAACATTTTATATCCCTTTTGAGTCCGCCGCTGCTCCACATTCACCAGGAATTCCTGCCTGGCTTCCAGGTCTGCTCGATTGAACCAGGCAGGGGCAGGTCTCTTGCTGGATTTCCCATGGCCAGATCGAACTATGCGTGGCTTTAGCTTAACCATATAGTTTTCGTCCTCAATCTCCTCGACCATGGCCAAGTCACCTGCATATGCCCCACGCTTCATGCGAACCCAGTCTCCTGCACGCAGCATCTGCGTCTTGCGTGCGTGGCTGTAAGCCGCAGAGAAAACCAGAGCCATCTGGTCCGTGGGGACCAGCGACAGTCCTTTGAACGCGGAGATACCGCGAATGCCCTTCGTGAACGCACGAACGTCGGCTTCTTTGTGGGCTTCCACGTAAATGCGACCCTTCAGATGTGGCGAGCAGAAAACCGAGTAGACCGGAACCGGGGTTCCCCGTGACATGGCCTGCAAGGAAGAGCTAGGCAGAGTTCTCCGACCATCTACCATCCATTCTTGTGTGTTTGTGTGTAGCTACACTCAACCGACAGAAGCAGCAAACAAGGAACAACGTTTCCAGCGATTCATTGCTCTTATTCCCAGCGATCGGTCCTCGAACGACTTGTACATGAGGGAAACACAAAGGTCTTTCTCGGGAGCGAAAGTTTCCAGCAACCACAACTTTGGATCTCCAGGTTCTGGCACCGGAACGGTCTGGCTGACCTTTTCCTGGAACAGATCATTGCCATGACTAGGTTCTTCCGTGCCCTTGGGTCTCTTCTAAGTCGCTGATTGTAAGACGACAGCAAGGCTTTCCCGAGATGCCAGCAAATTTCCTACCATAAGCCGTAAGCACACAAGGCTGCTCCTGCGAGGGCAGCTCGCCCTTGATGTCCTCACCTCGCTTGGCCCTCTCGTCTAGCTCCTGCAGAGCACTTGTAACCCGATGTGAGGGAGGCTGAGATGCTACTCCCATCTGACAGCGCAGGGCTACGCAAATCCACCTCCCACATGGTCGCGCCTGGTATTTCTTTTCAAGCTGATCCAACCTATCCGAGCTGAACAGTCGGGCCGAGCCCGACAGTGGACCGTGCTCGCGCTCGCGAGCGGCTACCTGCCATTCTCTCAGCCCATCAACGCAATGGCTTTATATGGCTTTTAGGGTTTGGATGGACTCAGGCTCGGGTTTAGAGCCTTTAGGCCTTTAGGGTCTGGTCAGACCCTGCCTCCTTCTTGAGCTGATCCAGCTCCTTATCACGATTTAGCTTCCTTCGGATGGCTGCGCGGCTCTTGCCCTCGTCTTTATCACCGGAATCCTTGGAGGCCATATCGCAACCAACGGTGAAGGAAGGATTGGGACGTGTTTGGGACCTTTTCTACCTTTTCTGGGCAATGTTGGGACCAGATTGGGACCAGGTCCTTGCAGCCAGGCGACGTCGATGAGCTCATCGAAGTCGCTGCCCTCATCCTCTTCCTCGCCCTTCCCGGCCTCCTCTGCTTCTAACTCAAAAAAGTCTTCCGCCTTGCGCTTGCGCCGGCCAGCTTCCGCCATGGCTGCTGTATTTCTAGCAGCAGCATGGGCAATGCGCCAAACATAAAAGTGCTGGGTACTGAGAGTTGGAGCATCTCCTCGTGGGCACATCTGACTGCCCTGCACTGTGGGGGGATTAAGACGGCTGTGCTATTGCTTCTGGATGCCTGGGTAGCTACAATTTGCTACAATGGTGTCTGGTAGAATGCAGTCTGCACACATATCTGCCAAGAATCTAGGTGACCCGACATACAAATGACATACAATGTCCCCTTGAGGCCCTTGGCCGCTAACCTTGTAAGCCAAACCAAAGGCTGGACGTGTCCGGAAAAAGGGGGGGGGGGAAACTCGCACGATTCTAGGGTGATTCTACTGCGACTAGTCGAAGATAAGTACCGCACCTTTCTGGCTAGGACGTCCTTGGTGATGCCAGCGAGCCACCTCTGCCTCGGACGTTGCACACACCCCTGGCGCGTGAAAGGCTCCACAGAGGCTTTGCTAAGCTTGTTGTCAACATACTTCCTGTGGTTATTCGAGGATTAAGTATTCATCAAATGGGATTATCAAGTTCTGCATGCATGCTACACGAACCCTGCGCCTGTCCGGAGAGTCTATCTCCAGCTCGTCGAAATTGAGGATGCGCAAGGCCTGAAGTTGGAAGGCCAACTTTGTCTTGATATGTCGATCCATATCGATCCTATCCCTTCGTGCCCTGCAGACGCAACGCTACCAAACCGCACCTTGTGGATCCTTGTGGCATCTGGCATTCTGCTTTAGTATAGAAGGCGGCTCTGTGGCCCTGGGCCTGAAACACCTTCACCACGGGCATAGTGCTTGTTGTCTTGGATGCGAACCTCCTGGTGCCGACTTTCGGATGCAACGGAAGCCAACGCTTCAAGCTGTTGAATGCATACCCTTTACCGCCAAATACCAGCATGAAGTGCCAGAAAGAAGCATGTGCATCACCAAAGCCCAGCAAAAGGTGCGATTCACTAATTCAGAGCCCCGGTCCGAACTAGATGCCACTTCTGCCGAGCTCCTGAAGCTCTCCTTCACCAGGTTCAGATCCCAATCTGACCAAAGCACCTGATGTTAGGAATTCTTGACGCTTGCTTGAGTTGGCCAGATGAAGCGCTTGCTTTTTTAAGGCAACACTATGGCCTGTGCCTTTTTGAAACGACCACTAAGCGACCGCATGGCGCCTGAGGCCGATTACGCGGCCCTCGAAGTGCGCGGTTCTCGTTCTGGGTCCACGTCGAAATTGCTCTCTCGTCTAGGCGCGGGCGTGGCCGCAGAATTCGGGCGTGGCGATTTTCAGCGTCCTTATAGAAATTATGGCACACATGGCGGCACAAATGGCGCTCTCCACACAAGGTGTTCCGTATCCGCGGTGTTGGTAATAGTGCCACGTCGGTCGAAGTGCAGAACTGCAGAACTGTCGTTAGTTTTGGACCCTTAATCATTTTTGAGGCACGGTCTCGGCAGGGTCTTGGGATCTCCCAGGTCGGAAGCAGCTTCAACAAAGTAACACTCCACCCCGCTGCACTTCACGAGGCTCCAGCATCAGGCTCCTCCATCTCGGCCAGTTGTATCGCCTCACGTATGAGCTCCTCGAACTTTTGAGTGGCTAGTAGGGCTCAAGGCGGTCATCTTTGTAAGCAGCGGGAGTCCGAAACCTTTTGCATCCTCCAGCCCGATCGAGCACTAAAAGACCCAACAACCCCATCCGCTACCCCTCGGCTCCAGCAGATCACTGAGCCGGTTGAAGTACAGCTCCTCTGCGTTGTCGTCCTGTGGCGCAGGCGGGCCCCCCACTTCGTCGGGCGGGAAGAAGGGGGGGGGGTCCTTTTTTGACCACTCACACCGACCTGTACCCGAAATACCAAGCGCGCTACTGCATGGAAAGCGGCCTGTGCGCAGGGCTTCTGATCTTTCCCCGGCGTAGTTGTCAAGCCAAGCACATCTACAATGTTAACCCTAAACCCTAAACCCTGGCACCGAACAGCGGACCTGCAGCACCTGCAGCAGGATGTTGGGCGGCCAGCCCAGGACGTAGCGCAGGACCTCGAGCTCAGGACTGTCACGACTTAGAAGAAAGACTTAGAAGAAAGCCGCGATTGCCATAACTCATTTTTGGATCTAGGTGTTTCAGAAGAAAGTGCCAAACACAAGGACCCAGATTTAGAACAACCCCCCATGCAAGTCATTGAAGTCGGAGTTCTGCAAGCGCGGCCGCCAGCAAACGTTCTACTCAATCGTGTTCCAATCTCATGGGCTCGGGGATATGTCGGCGAGTCGGCTTGCATCCCACTGAAGTCCGAGGCGAGGACATGGCTAAGGTCGCGCACACCTCAGGCCGAGGAAACCCTGTAATAGGCAAAGGGGTTTCGAGTCTAGAGTGCTGGGGGGGTTGTGCCTCATCGGGCGCAAACCAACTTTTGAACAGAAGATGCTTAATCGCTTACCAACTTGAGCCTTAAGCGTTTACGCGGTTTACGCGCGCTTTGAATGTTAAACGGGTTAGACCGGCAAATGCCGAAACCCACAAGTGGTTCCAACTGAACAAAAATGACATGTTCAAGATGAAAAAAATTGCTGACCTCTCGCTCCCAACCTCGCACACCGACGACACTCTCGACTCTCATTCTCAATCTTCTCTGACAGCTCACCTCCAGACTTCTTAACTCTCACTCGAAAGCTCTCTTGAAGGCTTGCAACTTGACTTACAAGGGAACTCATACAAACGGTTTGACGCCGCGGCAACTGTTTACTTACCCCAAATCTAAGAATACAAGTTTCAACGTTGGCAGTGATGATCCCAAATTATCCCAGTAAACGCAACTCTCGAAACATCTTGATTTCACGGGGGTTTTTGCGACGATGAACATACCTTGCGGATATGCTGGTTTCCAAAACGCGGCGTCCCATACATCAGACTTTCAACGCGGTTAGGCCATTTTGACGCTCGGGTCGGGGTCGGACACGACTCGGGGATTGGGGCGATTTGGACTCTGTATGATTGCTGCCTGTCACAACGCACATATCTTGAGATTCGGCCGTTTATCTCAAAGTTCCTTTTTCCGGACGTAGCTTCTTGCAGAATTATCGTTTTGGCCATGGAACCTCCCCATTTGCAAGCCACGAAGTCAGACCGACATCGGCCAACAAGCCTCTCCGTGGCGGTCACTTACACCGATCCTTTGCAACTTTGCAAATCTTGGGCCACCTTGGCACCCTTCTTGGTGCGGTTCTCGCAGGATTTACGCCACGCACTTCAGGTCTCAGGCACGTAACGGGACATCAAAACCGCTCGTGACCTCATGCTTTTGCCATGCGGCTGCTCTTGCATCGGCCATCCTCCTCCTGTGGCCAGGAGTCAAAAGCCGAAGAGAGCTGATCCAGCACCTCACAGCTCTAGGGTTGAGGGATCGGGGTTTCGGATCGGTTCAGGAAGTGACGCTCATGGACTCTCGGGGTTTACTCTCGGAGTTTTGCTGCCATCACTCCCGCGCTTCTCACAACTCCCCAGCTCCGGGGCCTCCAGTGGAAACTCGGCACGCCACGTCTGCAGCCAGATGCGCAAAGCACAACTTTGGGGGCCGACTTCCATGTGAGCATCTATATTTTTGTTCAGATTGTTAACATGGTTTGGATGCCTACACGGGCCTACCCCGGGGCCTGCACGGAGTTGATTTTCATGGTTCAACCGTTCAACCTACGCGAACGTACGCAGAAAATGAGGGTTGAAGACAGTCAAGAAAGTGTGCCTTCACTCCTCTGGGAGACATCTGAAGCGTGCTTGAGGCCCCAAAGCCCCCGCATATTCCAGACTCTGAACCTCCCCCCCCCGCTCGTCCCGAACCCCTACACAGACACCCAAAACAGCGCCGCGGCCGGCCTCGCAGTACCGGCGTACGGAGGAGGTGAAGTTTTCCTGCAGCGAGGCAGGCAGGACCTCAGGCCGCGTGGGGTAAACAGAGTTGTTGTGGAGGCATTTAGAGGGTCATGAAAGGGCTACATTTGCAGAATATACTGTGCTTGCAGTTTGGCGTATGAGGGCTGATAGGGTTGCTGAGCTATGGCCCTTGTTCTCAAGGGTTTATGCGCCAACAGAGACAGGCGCTCAACCGGGAGGTTTCTTGCAAACAGCCGGAGCCAGAAAGTGCTGGTTCCAAATTTTAAAAATATTTGTCCTTTGGCTCATGTTGGCTCCCTTGGCCCCCAAAAGACCGGTGAAGGAGCACTGGGGAGCCACCTGCCACCCCTCCCGCTCTCGTTTGTCCCGGGTGTGGTAGCCTTGGGCTAATTTGGGCTAGTAAGGTTAAGGAAGGCTAGGCTTAGTGGGCCGAGGAGGCCGACGAGCAGCCTCTCTAGCTTGAAACCAAACTCTCCTTTTGCTTGCTTCGAGACTCTAAATAAGTGAAGTAAGGTTTATGTATCTTGTACCCCCAAGAGGACACCCAAGGTATACACTCAACAATACTAAAAAGGAACCTTATATACACTCACCAAAACAGGAATATAAACCCTGCTTTATATCCAGACTTTCGCGTCCTTCCTTGGGCGCGTAGCTCATCTTCATATCTGCAATGATTGAAAAAGCCTGTGTTCCAGACGTCTGGAAGTGTAGCCCGCCGCTGGCCCTGCATGTCTCCACAGTCTCCACAGCGGTAGCAAACTTCGTAAACTCGGACCAGACATTGGGTCACAAGATTGAAAGTTGCAATGGCCTCATGCTCGGTGATGCCAGAGCCAGTCCTGGGCAACGGGCAATACGTCCATTTAAGTGGAATCAGCGGGCCTACTGTGGTCAATGGTCTGACGAGCCTGAATGAGGCATTCCGTGGCCTATGATGAAGATTGAAGATTGCAGGAGCTGATTCCACAAGCTCCCAGCCCTGAAGTCCTCTGTGGGATCCGATCCTGAAACACAAGCCCTCCAGGCCTGGATAGGAGCGACGACATCAGGTAATCGGCCTCAGTCGCTTCCAAGAAGAAACCATGCCGGGGATCAAGCTGCCCTCCTGGATCCAAGATCTGCACCGACAGCGCGTTGACCTTCCTGGGGGCGAGTTGGCGAACTGCTTACCGCACAAAGCTGCTCGCATCACTCTTGCCTCGGTGCCCTCTAGACTCTAGAATCTAGGAAGCCATGGGGTAGCATTGGGGGTACAGTAGCAAAAGCACATTCGGACGGGATGATGTTGGTTCTCTCTCAAAAAAACGGGCGGGACAAGTAACTACAATAGCTTTCAAAGTCTACACCCCCGCCCTGTTCCGAGACGCCCGGCGACTGCTGGGATTGCAGGGACTGCCGGCCCTCCACAGGAGCCTCGCCTGAAGGGAGAGGAGCATGGAGGAGCATGGGGCAGCATCTGTTGCGGAGATGCTTGGGAGATGATGGAGTTTGGGGCTGAAGAGTGGCGTGGGGAAGCCCCGTGCTTTGCGATTGCTTGTCATGGCCTCATTGCGGTCGGCCGATTTACACCTCTAAGGCCAAGCCGCCACCCAGAACTAGCTTTTGGGGCTAGGCAAGATAGGCACAACTCATATCCTGGGACTGAGAGGCAGCAGCCTTTAGTGAGAGGAGCGCTTCTGGGCCTGTGCCAAGAGTCGTCTGCACAGGCTCCAAAACCCTCCAGAGCCCGTCCTGCATCAAAGAGCTCCTCCAAATCGAGATCGCCTCCGAGATTGCGCACGATTTTGGGGAAATTTGGGGAAGACTGTGAACCGGTCCAAAAGGTCAAAGGACTACTCGAGATACTCGTTGTTCGCTGCCCTGGCCTCCCACGGCATCCTTGGCTGTGGCGCCCATCACCTCACGTGCGAGTCTGATGGCTGTGCCCACACAAGTCAACACGTCGGAAACTTGGAGCGCTGCCGTGCTTTCGCAACATGGGCGCTTTAGCACAGCGAGAGCTTGGTTTCTGACGTGGAAGCTTGGAAGTCGTGTCGTATGTAGGGATTAGGCCTGTCTCTTTTTAGGCCTTGTTTTTTAAGGCTAAAGCTACCGACAAAGCTGCGGACCCTGATGAAAGCAAACAGAGTTTTTTCGTTTGACCAAAAATGCTTCCTATTTTTGTCGTTTGGAGTGGCTCAACTGCGTCTCTGTCATAGCGTTAGCAAAAGGGAAAGAGCTGTTTGTTCCGTGCGGAGGTTGAGGTTTTCAACGGCTTGAAGCCGAAGCACTGGGGAACACTCACGAACACGTGAGTGCCCCCAGCGCCCTCTGGCAACTTCCATCGTACGTCGCGGGATTGGGCGCCGACTTGTGCGGCTGCGAAGAGTACTTGGAATTCCTGCTTTCAAGATACTCCTGCAATCCCCTGAAGCTATCGATGCCCCAAAGTTCGGTTTTGTTCGGGCTGCTTTGCCTGGCGGTGCATGATTTTGGGGATTGCGCTGCTTTCTTTGGTGTCACACGTTCGTAGCCTCCGTACCCGCTACACAGTCTCACACAGGCAGAGCTGACTGCGTCGGTTGGTGGCCTTGCAAAGCTTTGGGAATCGACGGCTCTTGGCTCGCTTTACTTTTGGGTTGCTTCTTTGCAGAGAAGAAGCAGACAGCCCACAGCGAAACCCAAGCTCTATAGACCCGAAATGCAACTGAACAAGCACCGACCCTGAACCTTTTGTGGGGCTGTGGACGATGATCTTTGTGGCCCCAGGATGCTTTGGTACCGTGTGCTAAGCCGAGGGCCTGCCTTTGGCTTTGAGTTTCAATCTTAAAGCTCTTGGGCCTTTGAGAGTGTAGTCCCACTGGGGCACAGGGCTGGCTGCGTCAACAGACCCTGGCGCTGCACGGAGTTACGCCTTCCAACGGCTGCAAGGGCTCAGGGATGCTGGGAACTAGAGCGAGGTTTGGGATTGGGAGGTTCTAAGACTTGGACGCACTGAACGGCCAAGTCTGGCCTGCACACCCTGCGCTCAAATCTGGCAGGGGGTGTTGAAGGGTCTCGGGTGTGGAGCTCTCTTGGCGGCATGGCGACCTCAGCATCGATGTTTGGACCAATGGCCTCGGTGTGCAAGTGCTTCAGAATCAGTTCTCAATGTTCTCATAACAAAGCCATCATTAATGGCGAGGCTTGGGTGGCTTGGGTGGCTTGGGAGGTAGCAGTAGTCACCGATGTGAATACTGAGGCGCTGAAAGCTGAGAGGCACGCGGCCGTTCGCGCTCTGCGAAACTTGGATGGCCTGCACCAAGGCAGAAATATTTCTGCAAAGTGCTGATCGAATCACGCAGCACTGCGCCGCACTGCAACTATCTCATTAATGATATCTGCACGACGCCGTGACCTGCAATCATTCAGGCTATTTGTCAAACCAGGACGAGTAAGAACCGCAAGAAGCTTTGAACATCATCCCACCTTGCGAGACAAGTGACATCCCTGCCTTCTGCGGAGGAACTGCTGTTCATTGACTCGGAAAACGAAGGCCTGCGCCGCTCCCGAGGGTTTAGGCAACTGTCGACTCGAGGTCTCATGCAGGTTGCTTCAGTCAAGTTTAATGTGCTTCGTGTGCTTCAGTGCCTTTCGATTGGCCCGAAGTGGTCACTGTTCTCGCCATCGCCGAAGCTGCTCCTGGCAAGAGCCACATACGCTTACACCCATTCGCGTTCTCAAAACGCCCAACCTCTGCCCACCTCCCGCCCCCCACCGCAATTTCCCAGCAAGCACCTGTCGTGATCTTGAGGCATTCATAGAAACTGGGACGTTGCCCAATACTAGCCTTAAATGATGGCTGAGCTGGTAACAGGTGTCGGGAGCATGGGCCGATGCGAGCGCAAAGCACACGGAGAGGGCATATCCCGACCAAGGATTGGAAACAGACCCTTAACAATACACCCCAAACATCCCCCAAACCGCGTATGACCTTTGTCGTGCCCCCGACCCCCGACTCCTGCCCTGCCCTATGCTGGCACACGTGCGCATGACACGACGCAGTTGCAACCAACTCGACAAACATCTTACTAAACTCTGATTCTGGTAATTAGCTCCACACCCTCACAGGCAACTGCGAGTGCCTCTGGCTCTTCAAAGGAACTTGCATGAAGGTTGCTTGCCGCGCAAGCGGCGGACCGGCGGTGACATCAACGCCTGTAGTTCCAAAGCTGTCAAAGTCACCTCAGCGGCCTTCCTCCTCCTCAGATCCTTCGCCTTCCACACAAGCTCACGGTACATGCGGCCATCGCCACCTGGCCGTGTCTTGATTTTCTCTTGATCCTTTGGATCGCGAAGTCGCAACTGGCCAAGCGACAGCCTTTTCTCCCAGCGCTCCAGGGGCTGCTCGGTGGACGCACTGACCTCTGGCCACAGTGGACCTCCCTCCCGTCTGGGAATCAGCTCCTCATCAGGCAGGAAGCTTTGCTGCTGCTTTGCATATCCCATCTTCGTCCAAAAGTGCATAGCCTGTTTTGTTGCCGCGGGGTAGGCAACCACAGTGTCTACACCCTCCTGGCGCAGGAACTCTTCCATGGCAATCACAAGCTTGCTTCCGTGCCCCTGTCGTTCTTCCCGGGCGCTCATGTGCATCACCTGTCCCCACATCGAGGAGTAGTTGTGATGCGGATTGATTCGGACGGTGACTGCTGCCTGGGCGGCCTCTATTCCGTCCTTGGCACGTGCTGTGCTCTTTGGCACTCGTCCCTGTTCACATAATATGAATGTTCGACATTGCCCGTGACCGGCAATCACGCGCGTGCGGACTTGGCACGCCTCTGCCTTGAAAGTGGGTTTGCTCATGTGGCATTCGTATGCCGCCCATCTGTGGGCGTCTTTGCAGGCCTCTAGTGCGCAGCTCCCAGGAGCGCTCCCGGGTGCTCGTGCCGCCCTGCGGGGGCTCCGGCTTCGGTCTCTGCAGCGGCGCGACATGGCAGAAGAAGCCTACCTCCACTGCCCAGGTTTCGAGCCAGTGGTTGCTACAGTACCCGAAGACCTCATGGCACAACGGTCTTCAAGTAGACGAGTCGAGCATGCTTTGACACGGGCACTTGTTGGCATCCGAGCGGTCAACGACAACGGCCCCTAGCAAGTGAAAACTACTGAGCTCGCGGCTTTGAGGTCGGACGGCTGGAGGTCTCATCCTTCCGCACCCCGAGAAGTAAAAGCTTGAAACAGCCCTAAAGCCTCAAAACGTAAAACCTGAAAACAAACAACAACCAGCTGATTCGATCTCCCACCCTACTGAGCGACGGGGGAGCCATGGCCGGAGCACTACCAGAACCATGATTTTCTGAAATCACACAGCATCGTCGTCGTCGTGCTCATCATCATAATCACACAAGTCCACTTGCGACTCTGCCGAGGCCTCCGACTCCACGGGCTCCAAGGACCTTCAGTTTCTTGCAGTTGTCGCGTTGTCGGGGGCTGTGTCTTTTCATCTGTTTATCACGTGTTGCATGGTTATGCGTGTGGTTGTCACCTAATTTCCTTCATTCCCGCCGACGGACCTCGCTCCATGGACGAGTCTAGTTCCATGCCGGTCGAAGCGGCTGAAGACTTTTGGAAATTCAGGGCTTGTGCTGCAAGGTCCAGGAGAAGGGCTTGTCCACTGAGCCAGCAGCGTCATGAGTCAGTGGTGCATCCATGTGCTGCACATGATCCAGTGATTCAAACTGTTTGAGAAACTTCAGGCTCGCACTGCCGAACCCGCCCGGGTTTGAAGACCTGCTGTGAGAGACTCATCTTGACTGTAAGTTTCCTTCCTTCAAAACGCAGAACGCAAGTGCAGCATCGTGGAAGATATCCTAATACACTCCGGAAAACACGGAGCGACTCCGCATCCCAGAGGGCCCCGGAGGCCTCGTGAACGCTTGGCAGCTCCGGGGCCTGAACGGCCTGAACGGGTTGAGGGTTCACGCCACGAAGTCCGTGAACCAACAAATTAAAAACAGTTTACAAAAGCAGGCTCAAGTGTACAGTAACTTTGACTTGCTGGTTTCCGACATTGGGGTACCATTTTTGGTGGTCCGTTTACAAGGGATTAGGGGTCCCCCATTTTCGTAAAATCCCCATTTGGGGTTCGGGTTGGGTGGTCTGGACGGAAACGCACACAGCCCTGCACGCCAGCCCTCTTTCAGAATGAGCGCCATTCGGGCCCTCCGATCATTGCTACCCTTTGCAAAAACCTTGGTGCTTCCAGAAGCTTTGACCAGGTGGACAGGAATGGGAAACCGACTCTGTACCTTAGAAGATCCTAGCCCCTGATCCCATCAGAATCCTGAAATCCCGGTGCCTGTCTGATGGGCACCTCGGCCTCTGGGCTTGGTTGCCGCTGCTTCTGCTTCCCACGCTGGTCACGCCTCAAAAGAACACACAACCACTGTGGATGCTGTCGTGTGCAAGAAAGGCAATCACAAAGGCATCGGTCATCCTATCGATGCCGAACTGGTTGGGCGAGCTGGCAGGATCAGCTCCAGCACATGCATATGCATGGTCTTATGCGAGGGCAGGTGGTAACCATGAAAAGGACGCGATTTGTAACCATGACAAGAAAAGTTAGATGAAATGGTGGACAGAGAGCACAGCGAGTCTACGTGACTGCGACTCAAACTGTAGAACAGCGGTTTGGCCAAATTCACATTGCCAATAGCCAGTTGATTGCGTCTACTTGCAACAGCCCCGCACAAAGTCACAGGCACACCGCTCAACCTGAGAGACCCCGTATGCGCATGGTCAGACCCATCACAAAGCCGACTACCGGACATGCCACCCAAATGGTGGTTGTGCTAGCTCCGTCCCTTTTGGGTCCGACCCTGGCTATTTGTTGGAACGAACCCTCAAGTGTCGTAAGAGTGCTACAAGCCTTCGGCCCCAGACCTCCCTGTAAGGCTCGCACCGCCATTGCTTCTGCGTCTCTCGGAGCCGCTGCAAGCCATAGGCACGCCTCACTAGGCTTCACGTCACACGGCTTCGGGTGAACTGTTGCATTGCATTGCGCAAGAGACACAAGAAGAACAGAGGACCCATGTAGAACCACAATCCAAAGGGGCCTCTGCTGAAGCTCTCTTCGCTCCTCTGGGCGGGCATGCTCCATGCGCACTCCATCGACTCACGACTGACAGTAAGAACGGACGTCTGCGAGCTAACAAACTTCTCTTACAGTTTGGTCTACCGGTTGGCGATGAGTACATAATCACGGCCTTGACAGCTACAGCAACTGCTTCGGGCGCACAAAGAGACACAAACAGCTCGGTGTGCCAATTATCCAGAGGAGGAAGGCTGGGCAGATCCTCGGCACGGAGCGCCGCCAGCTCGGCGCTGTCCACGCGCAGCGCCGTGGCCTCACAGAGCGTGAGAGAGCTTCTGAGCTTCGGCGTATCTTGGGGGATCCTGTCTCCGACTGAGTTTGTGCTTCTGGTGCTGAGCTGCAGACCCACTTGAAGACCGTCCCGAAGAGCGTGGGAAGGCTTCCCGTGCTATCCCGCAGCGAATGCCTCTTGCGCCCTGGGGTTCGATCCAAAAGAACCAACTCTCAGCTTGCAAGAGGCTCTCTCTGGCCTCGGGGAAGGGGAACCCGAGCAGAGGCATTTCGCTGTGGAAGCGGCTTGCAAAGCTGGCCTTGGAGGTGTTGGGCAGGGACTTGCGGTTGTATGGCTACGGGGTCAGGGCGTGAGGACCTGCAGTTTTGCCGACCATGTTAGATGACAGCAGAGCTGGCTAGGGCGACCAGGCTTGCGCGAGCGATCTTTCCAAGCAATTTGAGTACTAGAATGTACTAGACGCACCTCTGAAAAGAAACATCTGCTCCTCCAAGGATGCGACAGTGCTGCTGCAGCCAGGTCTTCTGCTGTGTGTGCACCTGCTAGTTGCACACGAGATGCGAGTTGCGGGTGGCATCAATAGTTACAAGTGACAATCTGATGCAGGCTCTGACAAAATCCCGGCAGTCAACTCCGGCCTGTTTCGCCCACTTCAAATGCGGTGACGCGTGGTGCTTCACCATGGGCAGATGCACGAAGGTGGTGTTGCTGGCCGGCCGACAGGTTTGGGGGCAGGATTTGTAGAAGAACAGTCCATGTAAATTTCAACGCACGTTCAGAAACCGGCTAAGACACTGCGAGGACTGCGAGGACCCCTTTCAACAAAGACAGCAATTCCAAGGGCTGTGCTTGGTGGGAGCGACCCTGGACGCATGCTCTGTAGCTAATACTTGTCCGTGAAAAGGATATTCGACCGCATCGTCCTTGACCGTCTAGAACAGAACCACCATGAACAGGATAACACCCTTATAATGGGTTTAGTACTGAAGGGTGTGTCATGTGTCCAGTTCATGCATCCAGTCCATGAGGCTAGGTGCACGAAAACCCCCTTCCGCACGCATCACACAAAGAGACCCCTTAACGCCTGGTCTGGATCCAAGCTCACGGACACAACATCCCTATCTTAAGAAGGTCAAAGCCCTGAGAAAATTGTCAGGTTTAGCATACGAAATACATATAATCATATAGTATATCCGCGTGTAGAACAAATCCGCCGAGGCCTCGGGCCGAAGGTGTATAGGTTGCCTCAAATGGGTACCCCCCCTGGGAAACCGGGGTCCGCAAGCGCACAGTTCGTCAGGACCAAAGGCAGTTGAAGCCCGTCCCAGCCCCCCCCAACCCGCACCCCCCCCCCCAAAAAAAACCCCCCACCCACCCCCACCCCACCCACCCCCCACCCCCACCCCACCCCCCCGCCCCAACCCGGTTTAGGGTTTAGGGTTTAGGGTTTAGGGTTTAGGATTCAGGATTCAGGGTTCAGGGTTCAGGGTTTAAGGTTCAGGGTTTAGGGTTTAGGGTTTAGGGTTTAGGGTTTAGGGTTTAGGGTTTAGGGTTTAGGGTTTAGGCTTCAACCTCCAAAACCAACTTTACGATCAACCGTCTCAACCCTCAACCTTGAACCTTGAACCTTGAAACTTGAACCCTAAACCCAAAAAACCCTAAACCCCAAACCGTGAACCTTGAGCCCTAAGCCCTCAACCCTAAACTAACCCTCAACCCTAAACCCCAAACCATAAACCATAAACCCGGAACCCTAAACCCTAGACCCAACCCTTATTGCTTGGGGTCCAGCGACTTGGGCGCTGCGGAATCACCATGCTCACGTGGATGCGCTGGGCCGGGCCGAGGCGGGTCGCGTAGCGTTAAAATTAAAGCGCAAGAGAACAGACAGGATGTTAGGTGCAGCAGATGGCAGCTGTTGCGCCTTCCGTCGCCTTCCCATGTGCGATTTGCCTAGGCCGAAGGCGAATTCGAAGTCTCGGTGGGAGCAGCAAATGAGGGCATGGCTTACGGTCTTTCAGGGTGCGAATTCGGAGTGACATCGCGATAGACGATGACAATCAGTCCTGGAGTCCTGCCTGACTACGTGAAAGCACAGCCCCTTGGCCCCTCGACCAGCCTGGCAGTGCAGGTTTCGCCACCTGAGCGACTGGGAGCAGGGCTCATTCAGAGTTTCGATTTCAATTCAAGTTGGGCTCACCGCCTGTTGGGATCGTGGCCTTGGGGTGGGAAATCTGTTTCAGTTGCAGGAATCCAAGCCACCGGCGTGCAGTGGCAACTGCTATTTCGCATATCAGGAGTGCATGAATACACATGCGCATTACATCACGCCACCTAACCTGGCAACGTTCCTCAGCCACCTGCCAGGCAAATCGCGGGCGCTCCTTTGGCAACGTCCCACTCTTCCTGCGCATGCTCGTGATGGGTATTTAACCGATGGTAACCGACTAACCAGTTCGAGTCTTGCGTTCGGTATGAGGCAGCCGCAAGATGCCTAGACAGCAAAGTGGCACAGCTACCATCAGCTGCTGATTATTTCTCCTGCTCTTAGAAATACAGGCAATTGAACGAACGAGTGCCCGGCTTCGCCACAGCATCAGACATTGCTGCTCACTGCCCACCTCATGCCCGCAAGCTGCAGTTTGTCACATGTGCCGTGTGGGGCAAAGCAGTGCTGGAAGCTTTGTTGGACCTACGTTGTACCCCAGCAGTTGAGGCCTCTAAGGCCACTTTGGCCATGTTGGCGGCGTGTGGCATGGCATCTTCGCTGGGATCCTAGATGCTAGCTAGCATCACTAAATTTCACGTCCAATATCAAGGCCCCGCATCTTCCATGTGTGAACGCGAACGGTTCATGGCGCATGTCCGACATGTCCCTGTAGCACACCGCCTACCACGCCTCACCTTGATCATGGCGGCTTCCTCAAGCAAGGCTCTGGTCTTGGGACTTCAGGGCCCAGTGACGCCGAACGCAAGATGCCACATTGCAAGCGCCTAGCAGTCCGGAGAATCTACGCAATGCAACTGAGCTAAAGAAATCGGACGTGGTTTCGACCTGCTGATTGATGCTCACGGCTCATGAAGTTTACACAACCCGCAGGCTACAGTTTCCATTCGCCATTGACCGCGAGTGAGAAAAAGGATGCCAATGCAGTGCTAACCCTCCTGCAGTATAGATCATCATATCAAGTGGGCTAGTGCCTGCTAGTGCTTATGCGGCAGCTGGAGCAGAAGCCGGTCAAAGCCTGTCTGTCACGGGTTACTCGGATATTCGGACTCCTCGGTGGTTTCACCACCACTCAGCCATCGAAGCAGGTCGCAAAGGCGAGACGAACTCTGAAAGGGAGCACTGTGATCCGGTCCCACGCATGCTCTGGTTCCATCTGCAAACGCGTGTCAGGCATCTAGCACCACGCGCCGAAAATGCAGAGTTGCCAGTTGCAACCGGAACACCATGTCTTAGAAGGAACCCACTCCACCAACCTCTCCTGCCTTCCTTCCAGAGGCAAAGTACAAGTAATAAACTGCCAAAAAAACAAGAGGCAGCATTTCGCATGCCAGTTTGTACACGTCGCGCGTCCTGACAGGGCGTTAAATTTTGGACCCCTATGTTGTGTGACATCCATGGCCCAACGGCCCAACAAATCACTCACCACATCCCACCATTACAGAGCCTCTACATCCCTAAATGCCCAACTCCTACACTCCTAAACCCTGATGGTAGAGGGCCGCAAGGCGTGTCTATGCACCGAAGCCTGACCGTTGCTCTGCATGCTTTCGCAGCCGTTCCTGCTCACGCGGGTGCAACCTAAGATGAACAAAGCAGGTGTACGAGCAAGGCCATCTTGGCTCGCGTTTTTGCTGTCATCCTGCCTGTTGTTGCAACATTGCGGCTGCCACAGTGACGCTGTCATTCGTGCTGTCGGTCTAGATGCACAAGCGAAGCGCTACCACTCAAAAACTCTTCACGAGGTCCGTTCGGACCGGACGGCCTGTAGACTGTAGACCTGCGATCTTCATCGGCCCCGGACAGCACAAGCCGAACATGCATCCACGCAACGAGCAGTACTTGGCGCGGATCGGTGAGGAACATCGCGCCTCTTCCTGCTGTGTCCCAAGCATCGCCGACGATGACCATGATAAATCATTGGTCGTTGTGATAGATAGGGTCGTTTGAATATTTCTCAAGAAAGCCATGCTTCGTTCACTGACCATGTGTGAATGCAAAGCAGAGGATGATTGAGGAGTGCATAACAATAGCCAAGCCGTTAAGCCCGAAACCGAAACCCAGCCTGGAAGGGCAGGAAGTTCCGCACTGGCACCGGACGGTCCGCAGCTTGCCTGGTAGTTACGAATCCAAAAGCGGGGGTTGATTCAATTTGTTGGCCTTTGGTGAACTACTCAAGCAGCCACCAAGATGGGCTAATATACATATATATATATATATATTATATGCAGATCGTTGTGGGCTTCCCCTATCCATTATTGAAGCATTTTTTACTGTGCAGCACCCTTTTGAGTAGTCGTTTGGGTGTGATAACTGAAGGAAAGGCAAGGCGCTCCGTCGCCGCAACAGCTAACAAAGATTCAAGAGTCGTGAAAAGCGGAGTGTATTGCAAAAGCGTCTTTGTCTTTATACAACTACGTATGCTTCTGCTAAGTGGGAGTATCCACAAGGAACACCACATACACAACCAGCAGAAATCATCGCACCTGGTTCAGGATGTGATTATTGTCCAAGATTCCCTGACGCTGGGATTGATGTTCTTCGCGTCACGTGCAACATACTTTCGCGAATTTTCGCGGGGCCGATGAATGTCTCGCTCAAAAGCAACCACCACGAGTCAGCATAAAATGCAGACTGTTCAGAAGTCCTTGGCGTTTTCTTTCGCAAGTCTCTCGCGGATCACACTTGCTGGTAAAATGCCAGCTTAGATAAAGTCGACCACAAGGACATACAAGGACCTTGTGTACAACCCTCGTGCGCATTCACGAACATCTGTTCCCAAGCCGCAGGCACGTAGTCCGGGTTGTTCTTCTGATGAAGGTCCCGCAGCATGTTTTCCCGGTGTCGGGAGACGTTCCTCAGCCCGCGCATGGCTCTCCCAGAAACCAAGATCGGCGGAACCCAATGACCCTTGACTCTTGATAACCTCCAAACCCAAACAAGTCAGATAACCCCCTGCACCCCTCAAGATGCCTCAAATCCCTTAAGGTAGACAGGGTCCCACACTGAACCTCGGACCACTGTCGCAGGGGTAGTGCTCGCCGCTGGCCTAGGTGGCTGGTTATGCTCAACATGAGGTTCAGGAGTTCAGTGGGCATAAGCGAAGTTTTGGGGTCAAGATGGCTTGAGGGCTTAGGATGGTTGACGGGTTTCCTGAATCTCGTAGCATTTTCTGCTGCAGGGAACAATCTATTTCGCATGTCCGGACCAAGCCTGACAGCACCTGGCTTTAAGGTTTGGGAGGGGGGGGCTTAGGGCAGCCTAGGGCGACTAGTGCGAGAACGTGGGGTCGTGAATCTGCTGTTTGGTACCTCCTATACGGCCGTGAACAGAGCTGCAGCGGTCTCACAAACGAAGCCAGGGTCCCGCACCCTCGTAGGCTCGAATACTGCTCCTGAGAGGCACCGCCCCAAGAGGCCCCAAGCGATCTTCCTTCGGGTTGGGACACATCATTCTCGGCGAGCCTTCCCTGCAAAGCGCAGTTCCTCGCAAACTCGGCCACCTGAGCGACAGAGTCGTTTCAAGGAGCCCTGTCAGACTGAGCAAAGGTTTCGTACAGATAGCTGAGGCAACTAGGAGTCTCACGTGGCCCTCCGCCGCCTGAGTGGGGAGCCGGAGGGCGGAGAGACCTGGGTGGAAACACAGTGCAAGTACTGTTGGAGATCTGAAAGTCTGCGGAGATTTAGCCTTGCTTCGCAATCAGGCCTGATTCTTGGAGAAAGTCGCCCTATGTTCAACGCATACTGGATTACAAGACTCGCCTCGGCCTCCGGCCGACAAGCGTCTCAAGCAAGCCAGGAGCTGGGCAGACCCATCACCTCCGCCTCTCCCGCCTCTCCCCTCTACAAGCTGCCCAGTTCGCTTTGGGGGAGCTGCAGTCCCATTCCGGGCGCAAACCCCCGCAGCATCCTTCGGGCCATCTTAGCCTTCGCGTTCCAACAAGTTCGCCAGCCGCAAGCCCACCACCTTCTGGGCTTCTTGGCAACTCCTCCCCAATGGCCCAAGCTTCACTTACAAGTGACAACCAGCACACGAGCACACGCAACACACCTCGGAAGTGTACCAACATTACAAGCCTTTACTGCTAAATAAAAGAAACAAACCTTCAAGGGTAGTCAAGCAAGCCTTTACGCCCCCAAGCTTTAAGGGTCGGCTGCTCGCTGGTGCCTGTCTCCTACACCCGTGCTCGCATGCCGAATCCGCAGCCCGACCGTGCGGACGGGAAACGGCGCCCACGTGCACACCCCGTGCTTTAGACTGCCTGGCTGCTGAGGCGGCATGCGCCAGCACCTACAATTGCTAGATTGCTAGATCTGCACGATGCAGAAGTGACAGTGACTTGACCACCCCAACGCCACCCCAGGAAGTGACTCGTGACGGGAAAAGTGCTTCACCCATTCCCTCGACTTCTGGCAAATTCGGCAATGCACAATTATCGCCCCTAAACCCGAAACTCTCTTATGACTCATGCGATGCGCTAAGTCCTAAACCTTTCAACCTCTCACCTAACTGAACTGCCCACGACGCCGCCCCACATGAGGCAACTGCCTGCATTGGTGAAGTCCCAGCCTGGCCCGGGCCTCCCAGCACAAACTGTGATAGAGCTTTAGGCCAGTTCGAAATCCTGTCATCGCACTGGTCCTTCGATAGATTCCCCGCGCCATGGGGCCGTTTTTGGAAGCTTGATATTATGGCTTGCAAGGTGTTGTAGGGAATTGGCGGACGATCTCATGAACTTTCATGACCTTGCCTCGAAACAGCCCGAAGCATCTGGAAGCTAAAGCCGACCGCAAACGAGCCTCTCTTCCATTCCGATGTGGTTGTTCCGGTTCTTGGGACTCACGGGATCAGCCCAGGTTGGCAGATCTCGACCTCAACAACTACAGGAAACGAAGCAACCATGAGAAAAACCTTGAAACATCTTGCAAGAAAATTCTCAGGTATGCCAACTGCTTGAAGCAAACTCTCCACCATAAATCACGCAGTCAGTGCCCGGTGCTTGCCGCAACGTGTCCGAGGTGGCAGCCAATATTTGGCTCGGATGCAATCCGAAGAAGCCCTGCAAGCGAGACACTTCAGCAACCCCCCCCCACCCCGCATTCCCAACCGGCCCTACACTGAGTCTTGAAACTCCTCTGACATAGCAGGCCTTGGCGCACCACTTCTGAAGGCACGCTGACCAAGCCGAGGGAAGACGCAACCGGTGGAGCCTTGGCCGTCGCTCTGCACTCGTCTGCCCTTGAAAAAACATCCTAAAGCCCAAACATCCCCAACCCAAAATCGCCCCAGAAGAAAGCTCCGAGATGGGCCAGGACACGGTGCCCACATTGGACTGCTGCTCCTGGTCCAGGAAGCGTCGCAGGGCACCTCGGGGTTTCAAGACACTCAAGCACTGCAAGCCCTTTGCCGCCCGTCAGGTTCAAGGGTCTCAGGCTTTAAGGGCCAAGGGCTTAGCTGGCTCCGGGACTTGTGCAGAACGGGGCACTGGAGGAAAGGCTGCGCGCCGCACTGCCGACGCTCGTCGATGGGGTGCGCGGTCGGGAGGTCTCGCCTACAACTTCTCAGACCCCGCTCGCCACAGCCGCTGAAGTCAAGGAACACATGATGCTCAGGTGATCCGCTTACACACATCAGATGACCGAAGGTGCCAGGCCTTCCACGACAGAACTTCGCGGCTTCCTTGCCTGCGTAGTGAGAAAGTAGCCTATGACTGAAATTTAAAAGCCAGGCAGTGTTCAAAGCTCTTGCAAAATCAGCTGCTCAGTCAAGACACGGACAAACAGACTCTGTGCCGCATCCCTAAAAGCGAGATACCCGACATAGATTCCAACGGGATAGGCCCGGCAGATCCCGGCAGCCTTCAGCGCAGTCGCAGAGGCAGATGCAGGGCGCCGAAGAGAACCGGTGCTGCGGGCGACCATCGACATCGTGCACAAGTGGCCGCAGCCTTTTCAAGACCCCTTAAAGAACATTGAAAGAAGGTTTGTGCTTGATCTTGAGCAGCTCAGTCTCAGTGTGAATCTGAAGCTTTGTCAAAGACCTGTGCATTGCTCTGGGCACATACGTGAGATCATGAGACTATGGCTTCATGTTTGCTTCATATTTGCTTCATGTTTGCTTCATATTTGCTTCATGTTACACCGCACTTTGAACTCCCGTGCAGGTCTGGCTTAGCCAGCCGTGGCCTGGGTCCGTGCTGAGCCGACATCGCAGCCGCTGAGATCTCATCCTTGCTTCAAAGATGCCACGGCTGTAACCATTTGAGAATGCGGAATTGACGAATTCACTTGGTGGCCTTTCCGAGCCGGGGCATGCCTTCCTGCAATGCTCTGGACCATGACTAGCAACTTGGCGGCCTTCTTCGATCATTCGATGGACGCTTCGTTGCTTGGAAGCACTTCTGCTTCTTGGGGTGAGACGGAGCAATGGGGATCCCAGCCCGGCTTCGGACGTCGCGCATCATCGCGGGCCCTGCTACAAAGTCGCAGGGTCTGGGGAGGGGCTCTTCGTCGCGTCCTTTGTCCAACGGCCGTCTGATACGGAGATATAGTGAGAGGACATCAGAGGACATCGGTCTTTTCTGGCTTTTAGAAGGACCAAGAGACCAAGAGCTGCCCCCAAGCTCAAACTTGCGGCCTCGGGCTTCAAGCCCTGGCCAAAACACCTCACGCGGCGTCCCCCGCCTCTGCGATAGGCTCGCCGGCCTCGTGAATGCCCCACATCCCAAAATGCTCCCCTGAAGCCCTGCACTTGAGACACAACCTCTAGCGGCTCTGGACGTCGCCTCCGCCTCTGCAGCGGTGTCCGGGACTTTCTCGTCCTGATGGCAAAAGAGGATTTAGAGGATTAGTTCAGTGATGTCCGAGCTAGGTTTAGCAGTTTAGCGTCGTTTCAGGAGAGTTGGGGGGGTGAAAAATGCACCGAATTCGGAATGACCAGGAGCCGCCCCTCTTTTGGAAATCCAGAAATAGCATGCCGGATGCCTGTAAAGAAAAACCCCTACATATCCCTACATGCTGCAAGGGCACTGTATGGCCCTGTCACTTCCGATTCCCAGCCTCCTCCCCGAGAGCCGCCTCCTCGGGAGTCGGGAGGACGGAGTCCGGGATCAGCGAGGCCTGGGAAAGTGCGTGGTCACTGATCCAGCAGCGCTTCTAGCCGCTGGGGGGCCTTCTTCAGACCGCCACTGCAGTCTACGACTGCCCACAGTGGCGCATCCACTTCGATCGGCGCCTTCACATTCGCCTGAAGCCACATTGCAGCTTACAAGAGCTTGCGGGAGCTGAATGTCATACCAACTACGTGAAGAACTCGGCATCGGCACAATTTGTAGTTACAACGATATAAACTCACAAGGCCAGAAAAGGCCTAAAGAGACCATGGGGGCATGGGGGCTTGGAGGCGCCTCAGGCGAGAATGTGTAGACTAGCCTCCGGTTGATGAAGAGCTCCTGCGGCCAAGCTAAACCTTTCTCTCTGCGACGACGCTCAGCATTTTTCAGGTTCTCCTGCATCGAGCTATTGGTACTGCGCAGATGACACCCCTAACCCAGATCGGAGCTGTCCAGGCCGCCGTCGAGGTTTGCTAAGGCCTGGCCACAGCATTCAGCCAAAGCTGTCCACCGACTCAGCCAAGGCTGGCCACCGGCTAGGGATGGCTAGCGAGTTTGCAGGAGCGAATTTCCTGCGAACTTGGTAAGAACCATCAAAACACAGAAGTCGCAGAGGACGCCAACCCAGGGCCAGGGAGGCTCCCACAGTGAATGCTTGCGCCGGCTTCAGCTTCGCGAAGACCGGCTCAATCTGCAGGCGGCTGGAGCTTGCGATGTGATGCAAGATGATGCAAGAAGTCAAGAGAATGTCTCGCACGACTAGATGCCAGGAAGGATGCTGTGTTCTGTGCCATGACTCTGGGTTACAGGTGCTAGACATTCGGTCTGTGGAATCTGTCAGAAGTAGACTGTGGGAACCAAAGCTCCACAGCTTGCCTCAATGCGCTCGCCATTCCAGTAAAGCGACCGGCCGTACCCCGCAACCTGTGCGGGCCGAGTGTAGCTTCGTCGAGTGGCCACGGACGGTTTTAACGAATCGTGTGATCATTGCTGGTTTCCTTCAAGAATCAACTTTTTTGATTTCATTGAAACTTTCCCATAGTTAGTTTAACACGCAAGACCATCCTGAGAGCCCCACGAAGGTGCGAGGGATGTCCCCCGCGCAGCCAGGCAAAGGCGGCGCCTGAACGTCAGCAGGATTCGGGTTTACCCCTGGAGGCTCTTGTGTAGCTCCGCTTGGGTTTTGTTGTGGTTTGTTCTGATCAGGGAACCTACATACTATCTAAAAGGACTACATGTGAGCCTTCGGGGAGGTTGAGGATTCTAGCTCTTATGTCAATGGGGCCGAAGTCGCTGTGAGTGGCTTGCTTGCGGAATCCGCCGAGGCCTCGGGCCGGAGGTGTATAGGTTGTCACCCCCCTCCAAATCCTCCCCCCACACCCGACCCCTTTTTTTGGCCTCAAATGGGTACCCCCCGCCAGGACCAGAGGCAGTTGAAGCCCCTCCCAGCAGGGCCCCCCGCCGTTGTTCACCCACCCCCCTCTTCCCACCCCCCCCCCCACCACCCCCCCACCCCACCCCCCCCACCCCCCCCTCCCCACCCCCCTACCCCCCCCTTCCCCCCCCCCTTTCCCCGTAAGATGGACACTTAGAGGCTATGCTGCACGTGCGTGGCTTGTAAACAAGTACTTTAGAGAGGAAATGCCCACAGAATAGACGCAACACATCCGCAGCATAGACGCAATGCACCCTGAGCATGGCGCGGAGGGTGCAGAGCGTGCGGAGGGCGCGGAGGGCGCGGAGGGCGCGGAGGGCGCGGAGGGCGCGGAGGGCGCGAACGCGCGCAGGGCGCGGAGCACGCGGAGGGCGCGGAGGGCGCGGAGGGCGCGGAGGGCGGAGGGCGCGGAGGGCGCGGAGGGCGCGGAGGCCAGGAGGGGCGGCGGAGGGGCGCGGAGCGCGCGAAGGGCGCGGAGGCGCGGGCGCGGAGGGCGCGGAGGGCGCGGAGGGCGCGGAGAGGCGCGCGGAGGGCGCGGAGGCGCGGAGGGCGCGGAGGGCGCGGAGGGCGCGGAGGGCGCGGAGGGCGCGGAGGGCGCGGAGGGCGCGGAGGGCGCGGAGGGCGCGGAGGGCGCGGAGGGTGGAGGGCGGAGGGTGCGGAGCGCGTGGAGCGCGCGGAGCGCGTGGAGCGCGCGGAGCGCGTGGAGCGCGCGGAGCGCGTGGAGCGCGCGGAGCGCGCGAAGGCCGCGGATCCAGGGCGCGGAACATCACGACCCCTTCAACCGTGTATACATCGCGCTCTGAACCCCTTGTCATCCGAATGTCACGCTCCCCGTCCGTGCTTCCCCCCTCCTTGTCCTCGCCCTCTCGCGTCCGTCAACCGCACATCCATGCCATTCATGCAAGGTCCACGCCTCCCCGCCCCTCTCCCAGCAACATGTTCCGACCCCCCTCCCTTGACCATGTCGTCTCCTTGTCGTCTCCGTGGCCTCCGTCAAAATTCATTCCGTCCGACCCTCCTCCGTTGACCGTCTCCTCTTCGTGGCCTCTTTCGTCAGACAGCGATCCGATAGCACGACTTCCGCGTTGAAGCGCCAAACGAGAACCCAATCCCAATGCAAGAACACAAAGAGCACGCGCAGAATAGACGTTAAGCGTCCAAGGCACCCCCCTTCCCCCCCACCCCCCTTCCCCCCCTCCCCCCACCCCACCTCCCCCCACCCCACCTCCCCCCACCCCACCTCCCCCCACCCCACCTCCCCCCTCCCCCCCACCCTGCCGAAGAGTCGCCTTAAACCTTAAGGGGCCTGGCTCAACCCTACGATCACTCCAAGCCGAACCCTAAACCCAAAAAAACCCTCAACCCCAAAGCGTGAACCTTGAGCCCTAAACTAACCCTCAACCCCAAACCCCAAACCGTAAACCATAAACCCGGAACCCTCAACCCTCAACCCTCAACCCAACCCTTATTGCTTGGGGTCCAGCGACTTGGGCGCTGCGGAATCACCATGCTCACGCGGATGCGCTGGGCCGGGCCGAGGCGGGTCGCGTAGCGTTAAAATTAAGTGTATGCAGACGCATGCAACAGTTTCAGCACCACAACGGCAACGATTGCTTCTCTCTTCTCGCCTCGCCCTCCGCGGTGTTGATAAGGGTCTCCGGGTCGGTGGCGGTGAAGCCCAAACCCATGACGCACCTTGCCAACCACTTTGACTTTTTCAAGCAACCCTGAAACCTCCATGCTTGATCGAGACCTGAGCCAGATACTCTCCAAAATTACCCGAAACTGGGCCCGACCAGAACCTAGCCAATGTGATGGCTGCTCTCAGCCACTGGGCCGAAGGCATCTCCCCTCCGGCGAAAACGTCTACGCGGATCTCGAACCAGCATCTCAGTTTCAGGGGGGCTAATCAGAAAATCGGCACCAGAGGCTTGCCATTCCCCTTGGCTGGTGTCGAGTGAGTTGTCATGGTGGCAGTCAAACCAAGGGCCCCTCATCTTGGAAGCTTCAAAAGGTCGGTGACTCAAAATGTTGCCTACTGTTGCCTTGAGCACTCAGGCGTTGGCCCACGGCCGCCCAGGTTGCGAACCGGCTCCGCTGAGAATGCCATCTGAGCCACGGCGCTTTCGGCTTAATGTCTCAAGTGCAGCGGAGCGGTTGTTGGATTCTCACACACATAGAGACTGCACTTGCGCGAGTGTTGAGAGTCGCAACTACGCTTGCGGGCGGGCATGAGGTTCCGAGCGTTCTGATTCTCAAGAGTGTGCACCCTCATCCAAGTTTCCTTTCTATATCTCTGCTCAAGCATCGCCCCAACTGTCCACTCCAAGGTTGGCAAGACGTCTTCAAGGCAGACGTGGCAGTAGCGTTCAGAGACGGCAGGTGGCACCTTCGGCTCATCTTTCTGCAGCACTGGCCTTGTCAAGGCGTACACAGCTTCGGAGTTTACCTGCATTTTATATCTACTGCTTTGGGGTTGGAACTGCTCGGGTTTGGGCTGCAGTCAGTCTGAGCTCATGGGACATTTTGCGAAGTGACCTACAGTTGTCCGTACTACCCAGACGGGTCCATGTGCAAGCCCCCGACATGCATACGCCCCGCATTCGAGCCTGTTCTTCCGGCGAAGGACTTGCGTTCCTCCCAATTTGAGCTCTAACCTCGGCTGTTGTGACTGCGAGCACTGCGCAGTTGGGCGATGTTCCCTCAGTTCCTACCCGTTGCTCCATCCGAAGCTTCTCCCTTACCTCCCACCGATGCACATCCCCCTGCTGTACCCTCTGCAGATCACAAGTCTGAGATTGGACTGAGGGAGCGTCTCGCCCCGCGGCTCTTCACGGAACTTGATGGACATGGCTGGAGGGTTGCTGTGGTCGATCGAAAGTTCCGCAGGTCAGCGTTCAAGGAGTAGCTGGCACTGGATTTCATGTCTTGGTTTTCGCCGTGTCTTGAACTCAGATGCTGCTAATGTCTGCATGTGCGTGCAAGGTCTGCTTCGGTCCCGACAATACAACTTCCATCTGCGAGAGCCTTGCGGTTTGGCACATACAGCCTTCCCTTTCATGACGCATCCTGACATTACATGACACTTTTGGACACTTTTTACATCCCTGAAGTCCATTATTGCTGTGCTTCAAAGACTTCCGCAGCAGCACACGGACCCGGGAAAGCTGCGTCCGAACTATGCGAACCAAGTCATGGTGAATCTACTCATGAGGTGTAAGGAACCGGCATGCGTCGGAAGAACGAACCGAGACCGCTTAGACGACCCTTCCACCCGTCGAGGCTTGACAAAGCCCTAACTCCATGCATTGCCTACTTCTTTGCCACTGCTGTGCTGGAGCTAAACCCCAAAGCCACACCACGGCGCTCATGGTGGATCTTGTCAGAAAGTCAGGCTAGCAAACCAAAGAGAATAGCTCAAACCACAAGGCTTCACCTTTTTTCATGGATTCAAGCTAGGTCCGAGCGATGCAGTTCAAATCAAAACCTAGTATCTTTATGGCATCCTCTTCAGAAGGGATCCTAGCGGGTCCATCCCTGGGGCTGCTCATGGCTACGTGTATTCCTAAGCCGAGGCCCATGGAACGATCAGTTAGTGACCAGGTTTGAGGCACACGTTGCATCTAGGGTCCCTTCGACATGAGACGGCTGGGTCGCTCTCTGAAGTTGGCGCGCAGCGCGCAGGAGGATTCCTGGTGGTAGAGGTCCGAGACGCAACCCAGAATGCACGTGTGGAGAACGGGGCTTCTAACCGAAGGAAGCCCTGAGACTGTTACGTTTCAGCTTTCCCCTATCAGCTCGAGGCCGACTTTCCAGCTTCTCATAAGCTGCACACAGCTGCCCCAATCCCTTCGCCGACACCTACCCGGAGCTCAGGGCTCTCACATGCTCTCAGGCATCTCGCCTGCAAGAATCGGACAGCTCTCGTCTAAACTGTGGTTCCGTATGGTCCCTGTTAGGTTGGGTCCTTGCAGCACAACCGAACACACAACCCCCTTATACTTTCCTCGATTTTGACCACACAAAGGCACCATCATCTAGTTCCTTGCGCTGAGGCATGGGAACCTTTTGGAGCGGTCTATGCAACCGGTATGGGGTCTTGCGTTCCCTAAAGAGCCTAAACTCCGACACATGGGCTTTGGTCAGAGCTTTGGCATCTGTAGGAACCTCCTGTCCAGGTCCTTTCCTTAAGCGACTGGGTACCTAATGTCTCACATTGCATGCCTCATCCGAAGGTCCGATTTCAACGCAATTTCCCCAACGAAGAAGCCGATACAAGCTGAGCACCCTTCGGAGGGCCTCAGTAGGTGGCAATGGGCAGCTCCCCGCCGAAGACGCCGCTGCTCTTCGTCGCTTCGGTCCCGAGGTTCTTCGCCAGCTGCCCTGAGAGACCGAACCGGAGTAAGGGGCTTCAGCGTCTGGTTTAAACGGGGGAAGTGCTTTGTCTTGGTGTTTGCTTCGTCTCAAGAGTGATCTGCGGAGGGCACATGTGCTCAGAGCAGGGCGCTCCTCGATTGAAACCATCTGCCGTTCTACTATTCGCTCTTGTCCCAGAAAAAAGGAAGGGACCACAGATCGCCGATCGCCCCGGAAGAGGCTTCTGGACAGAAAGCCCCGCCGACACTTCTATCTTTCAATTTTAGATAGTTGAAATAACGGAACGGAGCTTTCGTGATAAAAACGGAGTTCGCCACCGCAAGTTCCCGGGCGCCTGTGCCATGCTGCGAAAGCATACCGTCATAGTCAGCGTAGAAGCCTCATGGCATCAAGCAACTTGGAGGGGAGATGCAAACCGGTTTCCTTGAGATTCAAGACACAGCATGGGCAGCATGACACTTAAAGGCAAGCAGCTTCCATTCACGTAGAGGTGGGGTGTTCTTCGCTTCTGCGTCTTTGCCACCGTGTAGCCGAGGATTGCCGGATGTGCCAGGACCTTCACGGCATCGCAAGACAGAACACACAACGAGTTCTGGTTTTGCTCCGATAACGCAACAACTTTTGTTTTTCATCTGCGAGACGGCTACAGACAACCAACAGAGGCCAGGCAAACCTTCGTTGGATAGACAACGTGCCAGCGTTGCCATCACTGGCAAGGTGTGTCTTCTGTAAGCCGCCGACATTTACAGAGGTCAGGGGCACCGCTTGGGCTTCGGTGAGCATCTTCACGGCCTTAGACTCAAATCCCAGCCAGCATGCTGGCTGCCTGCTTCTCATCACGTTCTAGACTTACATGACCTAATCAAACGACATCTTCCATTTGTGATGGTGAATAGCACGAATAATCCCTCCCGCCACACTTTGGAAGGGCCTGTCGTGCAATACGCAAGATGGTTCGTATGATCAGATGTTGTCTGTTCCTTGTCCTTACACTCCCTCGCGAGCCGGCACGTTGATGAGTTGGCTTCATGTGCTGACATCACGTGCTCTCGCCTCTACTTTTCTCCGGCGCTTGCCGCTGTATAAGTATGCAGGGCGTAGGGATTCCAATCAGCTCTTGTGAGCCCTCATTCGACGAGTGGTTGCTTTCCGTGTCGCCGAATGGGAAGGTGTTCATGGGGCTCGGGGCGGCTGTCATCTGCTGAGCCACAATCGAAGAATCAAAGATGCAGGTTCCCTTTGAACACGTGCCTACTTCACAGATTAGACAACATCAGAGCTCGACAGCTTTGTTGGGGCCGTGGCATTGAGGCTCGGCTCGGACTTGGGAGCATCGGGAGTGCCCTCCATGAACAACACCACCTCTTCATGGTTCCGGACCGTATTGCTGCAGAGGCGACAACTATTCATTCATTCTTCCTTCTGCAGGCCTTGCTGTTGGAAATTTCGGCATCCAAGTCTGCGGCAACCTTATGGAAATCTCCGGGCTTCTCACGAACGGTATCACTGGCATGCTGCTGTTCTGGCACAAAGCAGCAGATGGACAGGCCATAAACACCTAGGTCGGCACAGCTTTCTGATTTGCCTGATATTCCTGTGGCCACAGAGCCACGTCAATCCAAGTGCCGAGCATGCCAACGTGATCTGCATTTCTGATCCGGCAACACCCTGACAGCTCAGCAAAGTAAGCTTGCGCCGTCCTTCAGCGACTTGTCCACCAAGTCCTCATAGAGCTTCGCCTGGCTCAAAAGACGGAATGTGTGGCTGAAAGCATGAAACCTTCATCATGGCGAAAGAACCCATCAGATTAGCTTGCTCTAAAGGACCTTTCCTAGAAATTCTGGCCTTAATAAAGGGAGGCGAGGATTGCTCTTTCTGCCTCCCCCCGTTCCCAGAATGAAACTAAGCGCAACTAACCTCTCTACGAAGATGCACTAGATGTAAGAAATGTCTAGAAGCGAAACACTTCAAATCCTGAATAGGTAGGGTTTAGCAGTCCTAGCCCAGGTCTAGCATGGGAAACCTACCACATCGACCCTGATCCCCAAACCCCAGGGGCCGTCGTGTCCAGCGGCGACGCGGCGAAGCCGCGCGCCGCGGGGCGCAGGGCAGGGCGCACGGCCGCTGCGAGCGCGCAGCGCCTCCCCCAGAGATGCGAGTGAAGGAAGCACGCAGAGCACGCAGAGCACCTTGAACGCCAGAGTCCCAGATGGCCTCAAAGCGACCCTGGCATACATGGCGTCTAAGCAGGGCTGTGCGCGGACGGAGAAGGGTCAGGCGAGTTCGAGCCGTGTCTATGCAAGTCGGAAATACAGAAAGAAACTAAGCAGGGTATGTACCACAAGCTCCAACTCCAATGATGGTGGGCTCAGCTTCCCTCGGCCACAACAGCACAAAAATTGCGAGCGGAGTTGGAGCGCATTCTCGAATCCTCGTCGCAACTCACCAGTCAGGTTCAGGGTCGATGTCGATAGCTTCTGGTCCGGCAATGCGCCGGTCGCAGTAGCTCTGACGATGCATGATGCCCGCGTCTTTTGGCAGGTCTTGTTCCGCGGCTCATGGGTTGGAAGCCTCAAAGATCTGCCAGGTTTCTGCACTAAGAAGCGCTCAAGGAGCTTACCTGACTTACCTCAGAACTGCAACCTCCATGGGACTTATCAATGCAACTTCCGAGTTCCATGCGCTTGCAGCCCAGTGTCAGGCGTTTTTGGTCCCAACTAGCAGCACCCAAGGTTCATGCCTTGCGCAGGTCGGCAGGGTAGAGGTCCAATTAGGGCTTCGGGCTTCGGTTCGGGCTACATCTTCGACAAGATGTTGAGTCAGATTCTTCCATGACAGCAAGTTCAGCGTAGGACCCGACCCCACATGACTTCTCTTACGTAGTATGTATGTATCTAGACCGCCCGCTTGTTGCAGGCATACATCACAGACATACAACATAGACATAGACTTCTTGCGTGGATAAAGCCTAAAGCGTTCGGGGCTTGTTTCCCTCTTTCTCTCGCTTCACCAGGTTAGACCGCCGTCAGCTTGGAGGCAGGGAACGCCTGTGCACGGTGTCAGCCGTATGCCGAAAAGAACTGAATCCCACTCCAACAGGTTGACTCATACATCTGATTACATCTGCTCAGTTCTCAAAAATTCTTGTCCCTTGTTGGGTACCCTAAATGAGAGGGGCCGCCTTGCAATAGGGGCGCGAAAAGGGACCACATTTTAGAGAAGTGACCATCTGGCTACACAAAGGCTCCTAGTTAAAGCCATTATTTCACTGACCAGGTTCTGGCTCGCGATAAAAGCCATATTATGTACGTACTAAAATACATACAAACACCCAGACGCAGACACTCTCCCTCTCATCTTCCGTCACATATCTGTTTTCTCATTCGATGGAGTAGAGCGGCTCTCTTGCTTGGATATGAAGACCCAGCAAAGCTCCCTCAAAATGGCTAGTGCAAATTTATGGGGTTTCTATGCCCAACAAGATGCAGAACGGTTCCCTTCATCAGGAAACAACTTTGAAGCTCGCCCTGCCAGTTCATTCTCAGAACTTTTTGCTTCCCAAATACTAAGGGGATCCTGAACTGTTACACTCAAGTAGGGCAAGCGAATCTGCTCATTTCTTGCTAGAAGCAGAAATCTCGTGCATTCATATGTTAGGTGGATTTTGTCACCGATGATTCCTTCATGTCTCTTCTGTAGCAAATTCTGTAAATACAATATAAAGGAGAGGGAGACAGAGAGAGTAAGCGAGCGGGAGAGATGGAGAAAGAGACCAAACCCCGGCGAAGTGCCATAAACGTTGCCCTTACAAGTCGGGAGCCAAGACACCGCCAGCGGTGGGGCAGCAAAGTCCCTTGAGGCCAAGGCTGGCGCATCCTCTAACATGGGATCACTCTACGTTTCCTCTGCTCTGATACGGATGTTCTCGAATCAAATGTGTTTTGCCAAGGACAGTGCCACTGGCGCCGTTGCCGTAAGCTTCAAATCAATCCCCACAGCATCTGAACCGAGCCCGAAACTTATGAACGGACCCTCCCATCGCCTCAGTTTTTGCAAGATTACAGACCCCACAAGTCCTTTGTGCAGCGAGCATTCCCCGCCAGCACCACCACCAGCACCGCCACCGTCACCGCCACTGGCAGAGTGGGACCTCATAGATGTCCATCTGAGTCCGTGTGTCTGTGCACCAGTTGTTGTTTCGCACACAGGTGTACAGATGCGACACCTGCACACAATGTGCACGAACGTGGCGACATGAGCTCGGCATGCTAGATATCCAAGCTCTTTGCCCCTATCTGCTTTTTCACCTCTGGCATATGACATATGTTTATTCAAGTTTGACATTCAAATATCATCCTGTATCGTGCATCGTTCTTGTGCACCGGCAAAGCCGAGTTACACGAGTTGAAACTCTTCTGAGAACCTTCCAGCCTGCCTAAACATCCAAGTAACACCCTCTGCATGCCACGGCTCCACCCTACTTGCGAAGACTTGCCTTGAGCCCTGTCAGAACCGCTTCTCTCCCTACGAGTGGCGGGGGCGCGGGCGCCGGCACGTTGTGGGGGCCTCAGTAAGGGTCGGCTCGCAAGCCTTACTGGACAGATTGCAAGAGAGCCTCCTGGAGGCAAAAGCCAGAACAACCGGCATCGACCGTCAGAATTCCTTCGACCCACATGTGCCTCCCTGGCTTTAGCAGTTGCCAAAAGGATCTCGGTGCTTGAGAGCACGTCATGCGACTACTTGAGCAGCTACAAGTAGATATGAGATTGGACACCTTTGTTTCTTGCCAGGCGGCGGGGCGGTGGTGGCGGCGGCACCCATGCAGGTTTGGAAGTGACGACGTCTGGCCAGGTGCCGGTCCTGAGCTGTCTCGGTCGCAATATCATGTTCCATAGACTCAAGCCACCATACCTGCAGGCAGATAAGCTGACAAGCCACGTGGTCTCGGGCGTCGTTGTGGTGGTTGTGGTTTTGTAGCACTTGCCGTTGAAGGCCACGTAGCCATCATTGCACATGCAGCGCCCTTCCACGCACCTAGGCGTCAGCACGAACGAATAAGCAACGACGCCGCACTGAAACTGGTTTGCTTGACGACATTCTGTCGATGTACCGTTGAGCAGCAGCAACAGCAACAAGAACAAGAACTAGAACAATAACATAACACGAGCCACAACGAATCACAACGAGAACAACGACGAAAAGAACAACAAGAACAAGAAGAATGAGAATAATAAGAAGAAGCATCAACCACGCCAAGAAGAAGTACGACGACGACGACGACGACGACGACGACGACGACGACGACGACGACGACGACGACGACGAGAAAACGGTGCCATTGACTCACCATTGTTACACTTGCAGCTCTGGTGCGTAGTTGCGCCTCTGCTCGAGCTGCAGCTGAACCATCCGCAGGTGCCCCCTGGAGTTGGATGCAGCAGCTGCTGCAGCAGCAGCAGCAGCAGCAATTATAAGGCTGCAGCACTGCATGATTGCGCTGACAAGGCTTGAAGAAGTGTTCTGGAAGGTGCAGAGGAGGAATGCCCTCGGTGGACCCTGAACCCATGCTGCTGTGCCTGTGTCCTGGCTAGTCTGGCTGGCGGATTGATCGAGGCAGGTCTTTCTTTCATCACCTAAGCACAGGGTTTAGGGTCTAAAGACTTCAGGTCCAGGGTTCGGGGCCTTCACGGTTTGAGTAAGCCAGAGCTACTTGCAAAAGTCGCTTGGAGCTCAGGCTCCAACTCCACAGGGCTTGATCCTTAGCCCAGATGCCAGAGCACAGTTGAGTTTGCAACTGTGCAAAAAAAACAGTTGAACGGCAAAGCTGAGTTGTGTGCTGATCCCTTCATGGCCAAGAGTTGTACCACGCTTGGCATTGCAAGCAATAAATTCAATAGCAGCTATAGATGTTAAGTAACCAAAAATATAGAACTAGGAACTGTAACTGCCTGCCAAGGCTCCTTGCAAATGCACCGCAGGTGATGGCAGGTCACAGGCCCCAACTTCGAGCTGTCGCAGTTGCTGAACATGCAGGAAACCCCTGCAACAGAAGTGTGGGGGGGGAGGGCAAGGCACGGTGAAGTGGACCAAACAGAACACGTCGGCAAACGTCATCAACGGCAAACTGCCCAACGACCGTTTGGTGCCCTCGTCCATCCTGTTTCTCGTCCTGGCTGATAGTCTGCAGCCTCCTCACCTGAGTCAGATTGAGTCAGGCAGTGCCAGGACGAACATCGGCAAACGCCCGAAACAGAGTTCAATTGCCTGTACTTGGCATGCCCTTCGCATGGAAGCTCTTTTATGAGGGCTCTTGTAGCCTACCTTGAAATCCAATCACAAGCTACGCCCAAATGGAGAAGTCCAGGGCCCTCGCTGGTAGCATTGCCACGCACGTGCAGGAGACCCAAAGCACAGGAGGGGTCCGAGCAGACGTCATCCTAAGGGGGTGACAAGCACACCCAAAACACCAAAGACATTTTTGAAACCTCGCCGCAGCAAAGACTCCACAACCGCTTCAACCTGACCCTGAATACTATACTGGCTCCACCAACACCCTCAACCCATCAATGCCCGTTCTCTTTTCCAGCGCAACGCCCAAAACAAGAACAAAGCCCCACCCCCAAAGCCAGTCTCTCCTGGTCCAGGGCCTCAGGAATACCCTGGTCTGCCACTGCCAGGAGCGGCAGCAAGATGAAGGCGGCCTTCGCCATGAGAGCGCTGTTCGTTGCGCCTCCCGGGGTTTCTTCGGAAGCTTCAGAGCTTCGGGGATGATGTGGCTAAGGATGTGGGGGGTGAAGGGGGTTTGGGGCTTAAGGGCTTCGCGTGACAGCGGGCCATGATGCCTAACGCCTAGGCTTGTCAGGAATTCAGAACCCTCAACCTCCCGAAACATGCGCCCGAAACCCTGCGCCTGCAAGAGAGGCAAAAGAGAGCAACTGGAAGAGGCTCGATCCCAAGAGGCAGCGCATGGGTCCAAGTGCTCACGTGAATGACCATTGGCTGAGACCCTGACTCTGCGCTGAGGCTCATAGGGCATAGGGCTTTGGGGGATTCTTAGGGGCTTTTCAGGGCTTCAATGGGGTTCAATGCGGTTCAATGGGGTTCAATGGGGTTCAATGGAGCTCATGACTCTCCAGCTGGGAGCAGGATGCTTTTTATCCGGGCATGCGCACTAGGCACAGCCAGGTGACTGGCACAATGACTTGGGCTCCAGGGTGACTTTCGCGAAGGAGACCCAATGCGGCAATGCTTGAGCAAGCAGTGTCGTATGAGGTCAAATCACCGTCTAGAGGTTGTCTGATAGGTACCTTAACAACCCACTCTTGAACACTACTTGCTCAAAACCGCTCCCAGGCCCTAACTAAGCCCAAAGCCGATCAATGCGGAAAGCCCCGGCACTTGGCATGCGCCGATCGGAGTTCGAGCCCGCCACCTGTCCCCTCTTCGAAGTTGCGTCGGAAGGACCTCAGAATTGCTGGGGATGATGAGAGGCCGATGTTGTACACATCGATGTTGAACGCTCGCTCACGGCGAGAAGAAGCTGTGAGGACATAAACGTCCCATACAGCGAGAGCTGAAGTTTCAGGGCCTTTGAACGCCCCCTCCACACATTGCCACAAATTGCAGCACTGGCCCGCAATGAGACTCCTGATGCTCACAGATTGCCACCTCCCGGAAACCTAGCATCGCCTGGCATCTACAATCGATATGTTTCTGTTCCATCTCTTGGTTGGCAAAAAACAGTTTTCCGCTTGCGCAGCAGCTGTTTTCGCAGGGAGCCCTCTGCGCTGCTCTCGTCCGAGGTCGACTCTTCGCTCGTGTCGCTCACTCCGCGAAGCCTGTCGTGTGGGGGGGTAGGGGGGCTGGAGGTTTGCAAACACAGGGACAAGAAAATTCAGATGTGAGATGCTTCCTCCGGGTGAGCGAAGCCCACAAAGGAGTCACCCCGAGGCCACATGTGTCCATTTGTCTTCTGGCTGCGTGCATGCACATGGTGCCTTCTCTCCCCTCCCAGGAAAAGCAGCCACACGCAGACCGGCAGCCAGTGAACCAGCGTCGCTGCCCACAGATTGCCTGTTCAACATGTTCGCACGCAAACACCTCTAAAGACTGCAGCTGCAACTTTCACAGTTGCAGAAGCTGCATGTGCACCGTCTTGAAAGTTAAGGCTTGCGGACTCGTGGCTTGTGAGAGCTTAGCGATGCATCCTTCGACTCAGAGATGCCCCAACAGCAAAGAAGCCAAAAATGTCAGAGCAGAGCTGTAACACTCGAAGCCAGTGATCACTATACGGCAGCTTGAACGATTCAGTCCAAACTCCAAACTGTGCAGGCGATAGCGGCGATAGTGCTTCATCTCCCAGGACCAAGCAATGAGCAATGAAACCAGCGAATCCGCCTGAGCCCAAGTACACGATGCTGCAGGCGATGCCCAGCATCGTCGCAAGATACCTGATGAAGGCGTGAGCTTGGTTTCACCAGACTTGGGTGGCCTCCCGCCGGCAAGGCGCAAGAACCGCGCGTCATGGAAGGTCCTCCGTTGAAGCACGGCAAATCGAACGCTTGCAGCGGAACCAGGATGTGTCAGGACACATGACTGGCACATATGCCAAGTCAGGCCTGCCCTGGTCGTGGGTCGCGCCAACCCGAGACAACAACGGGCCAGAGGCCAGGTGCATTGCCTCACGTGGGATTCCGTGGCACTTCAAGGCGAAGCTGCGCAGCTGCACAAAGGCTTAAGCATTTTAAGCATGGTGAAGCCCAGCCACCACGAAGAGCAGCAGGCAAGCAAGCACCCACAACCTCGGCCAAGAGCACTGCAAGTAGAACTCATACAGCGTAGAAACAGGGCCTCCCCAGATGTATTACTGAGCAACTGCGAGTTCAGTATCTTCACGTCCATGGAATACAGTGCAACGCCGGTTGCAGCAAGGGGTCCACTGCTGCGCCGACAGCCTAGGCAGCATTCCCCAGTCCGAAGTCAAACCTGCCAGGGTGTCACATGTGTCACCAAAACTGTAGCGATTCGAATTCGAGGCTAATGCGGAGACAGGACTCTTCTCTGCGTTCTTCTCTAACCCCCCCAACTTCACTTTACAGCCCGAAGCAGCGCAACAGCACAAGGCAAGCTCTCCAACGCGCTCCTTCGGACAGGTCTGTGTGGGCGTTGGGCCTGGGACTGCTGATCTCCATTGATCTCTCCAAGATGCTTCTGCTTGCGACGTCAGTTAGTTACGTTCCTTCAAAAACGGTAGCTCACATTGCTCCTTAACGTGCTCTCCTGAGAGGCTCCAGACAAGTTGCAGCATGGTTGCACGCCAGAAGGCCTGCCAAATCGTGCGGATGTGAAAGCTGCAAGATGCTGCAAGATGCTGCAAGATGCTGCAAGTCTCCCCTTGCTTCGCCTCCTCGGCCAGAGACGGGAAGAGAAGCGCCCGAAGAGCCAGCAGCGCTGCAAAGCGCGCGCTCGGAGGCTTGGACCAGGCCTCCAAGGCACAGCAAAGCAAGCAAAGCAGCAAAGCAGCAAAGCCAGGGCAATTCTTGGTACGACCCTGGACATCTTCAGGCAAGGCACTAGGAAGCCATGCCGGCCAAGCAGAGGAAGGGCAGCTGCTGCCAGGACCAAGATTGCACCTGCGAGTTCAACGAAACCGTCTACGAGTCTACATTTACAAGGCATGCCTTGACACAGTCGCCTGCCGCAGCAAGCACGGCTCTTCCTGACGGCACGCCGACAGCCGCCGTCAACTGGCAATGTTGCCCGGAGGATGTCGCGACAAGCTGTCTTGGAAGAGCTAATGTCGAAAGCTGGGCGCTGTCCTGCCCTTCCTGCTGTCCCCTGTTGGGTTACCGGTACTGTTCCATACGTCCTCACCCCACTTTGCACACTGAGCTGGGGCTCGCACGCGGGCCCGGCACAAGAGTAGCAAGCTGCCGACATCCATGCTGACAAAAAGAGAAAACTGCAATGGCCACTTGGCAAAGGAAAGCTGCAGCTGAAGTTACAAAGCTACCTAGGGCAGTAAGTGGTAAGTGTTGCAATTGGCACAATCTAGCAGCATCTTCAGTCTTCTGTTGTCATTCCAAGATTCCCGCATTGCGCATGCTGACAGTGTACTAAGCCGGCGGTCACCAACATGAGGGAGCCGGGGGGGGGGGGTGGGCAAGGCGAAGGGCTTCCAAAAAAGAGAGCACGACACCCCCACTGTGATCGTGGAACCCAGCACATGCTGCGTCTTGCACTTCTGCTCTTGGGCCCAGGCATCGCCACATCCAAATCTCCATGCGCAGACCTCCCACGATCCTAAAGGCGTCTAATTGTCTGCTGTTGCTAACCGTATGATGAGACCACACGGCATGACCCAATGGCTACAATGGGCAGCCCCAGGCCTGAAGAAAAAAACAGCTCCCCTCTCCTTCAATCACAACTTCTTTCTTCTTTATGCTTTAATCCCCTTCTCCCGGAAGCCAACTCCTGGACCCCTTGCACTTCTCATGGGCTTCGTGGACCATTCTGGAGACCTCCTACAGACCACGAGGCACCCCTGGACCTGTGGACCCATTCTATAGAATTCTTGGACCTGACCATCGCGAAACCGCCTATTGACTGCCCAGGCGGGGCGCCTTGGCTGTTAGCTAGTGCTGAGATTACACGGGGTGCGCTACATCTGAATGCCTCACGCTTTTTGCTGAGTCGCTGAACGCGGTCAGAGCTACGGAGTGTGGGAAACCTGTGGAGGAAGCCAGCTATCACGGGCTTAATTTGTGAAGGCTTGGGGCTTAGGGACAAGACCATGTTTACTTCGCAATATAACAGCGAGTCAGGGCGAGCGGCCAAATGTGCCGAGCATCTCGTTATCTGTGCGGCAGCTTCCCAAGAGTGCGCGTAAGCTAGGGACCCTGGACATGGGAGTGAGGGCCATGGCGGCCATGAGGGTTTACCTTGGGTTCAAGGTGCTCCAGGCGCACTCTCGGGAGGCCGACGGCCGTCTGGCAACGTTCATCTGCCACACGCAGGGCTCCCTACATCTCCGCAAAGAAACGCATCCCTAATGATGAACGCCTGCGACCTGCACGGTCGATCTGTGAAACTTTCCATGGAACACCATCACAAGGCTCAGGAAGCCAATCGATGTGACCTGCCGGCATTGAACTCGGTAGATGCCCAGACATTTTGGCTGAGAAGGCAGTTTGTCTGGACCAATGGAGCTAGACAGGGAGTGAACCTGCCACCCATGAGAGCTTCTTTCTCAGGCATCGTCGACCCTATGATTCCTACATCTGCACAGCATCTGATCTGAAGTGAGGAATGGTGCCAGTTGCTCTCTTTGTTTCCTCAACCCGTCTGCAGAGCCTCACGCAGCTACTCCCACAGCAGCTTGCGTAAGCTTCGTGTCCAACCTCGCTCCTGCCAGGGAGTATGTACTACATAGCAAAAGTGAAGTACCATTCCATGTTGTTGGCCATGTTGTTGGCCATGCTGCAGCTGCGATGCTCTGGCAAAGGGTGTTTCATCTTTGGGCATCGCCTACCTCTAAACCCAATCTAAACTTGACAAACCCTGAAACCCTGGACTAATCAACCCCAAGCTAGCAGCCTCGTCGTCACCAAGCCCTAGGGCGCCTTGGAGTACGGGCTTAAGCTTGGGTTAGAGGTTAAACCTTGATTGGGGTTCGTGTTGGCTCGGGTGTACTATGCACTATACAGGATATCATTCTTTTGCACTTTAAACCAGAAACCCAAGGCAGATGCCGAATCGATCCACAAGCGAACAACAGGCGTGCAAAGGTGATTTTGTCCCCTATCCGGCGACTGGCGCAGCAAGCCCGAGAAAGGAATCACGATGGGGCCTCCAACAACTCGAGACCTCCAGGCGATCCTCTCGGATCTTCCGCGTCTCGGAGCTGGAGATCATGCGCACCAGCTTCAAGCAACTTTCGATAAGAATCGGCCCATCGCCCTCGTCTGTAGTAATAGGGAACTTGTGGCGAAGACTTAAAGAGACAGAAGATGACTGCCAAGCACGCATGCATAACCGTGAACCAATGGGTCATCGCGTCGATAGGTCTGTACTGCACGTAGTATGAAACCGTCCGCTTTGTCACAGGGAGAATTGTCATGCCACAGAAGCCTTCCATAAAATCCAATGTCAGTCCCTGAACGGATGCGTGCATCGAGTTGCGGAAGTCAGCTTCAGATGTCAACTTACCAAGCCAATCAGTCTCGACCGTCGTCACTGGCAAAATGTTGCGGCATGACGGCCTATCAGGTGCAGGATTTGCTGGGATAAACACACCACCTTTGAATGACCTTACAAGAATCGGCACGATGCTCCCTGGCGAAGCCGCCAAATCAGAGGTCATGGCAGGTGCCCTCTCGTTGAGCACCTGACTTACGTCGTCCGAAGTCACGAAGAGGTCGTGAATGTCCTGCACGCAGTGTCCCGAGTCATCGGCATTGTTTTGATGGAACGTGTAATAGAAGTCTACGCGTGATGACTCCCTAGGGCACTCTGTAGGCTGGTAGGTCTTGCCATCAAGGCACTTGAGGCCTTCCAGCCACCACTCTTTCAATATTTGGTATGCTTCCACAGCCCCGGCAGAGTTTCTTCGGAAAGCGAAGCGGAATGGTAGTGGCAGAACCGTGTAGTAGAGCCCAGTTTGCCTGGCATCTCCTCCAAAGTCCTGCCATTTCAGATGGCCTATAGGGCCTTGATCCGTATCGATGTACACACTTCGATTGCCGCCGACGAAGTAGATTTGGAACTGGGACCGGCCCATGTGGCAATTGTACTTGCTTCTGTTGAAGTTGGTCAGAGGAATGATTGTAATGTTGAAGTCGGGCACCAGCTCATCCATGAAAGAAGCCTCCCTGTAGCTGACGGCTGGATGCTCCGAGGAGTACTTGACGAGCTCGTGCTGATGCCAGAACCAGAATGCCGCAAAAAGCAGGTAGGCGATCATGCAAAGAAGGGCAAGTCGCTGCTCTCGCGTGTCCAGGTTGTATCTGGGGCATTGCCACAGCTTAAAACCGCCATGGCAGCAGGCAGTAGCCCTCGATCTGCAGGCCTCCATCTTAAGTATGCATGTCAGTGAAAAAAAACAAGTTGCCACAACTTGAGCAACGGGCGCTCTATGTTGCTCCAAGTCCAATACGCACTGCTGCGCTGCGCGCGGCTTCAACAGTTGTGGAAGCTTGACAGCGCGGTCCCAACAAACCGAAAGTCGCAGATCCTGTCAACCCCCAAGCCGTAGTGATGTAGTACACAGTGTAGACTCACCATCCCGTGTCCACCCCATAAGTACCCCATAAACACTATAAGTACCATAATATCTACAAACCCTAATTCTCCCACCTCCTCGTGGGAGCCGGCCGGCGCCTGTCGCAGCCTCTGCAGCTGTCGCGCTTTGAAGGCCTCAGAGCCGAGCGTTTATCTTGTTATCTTGTTCCAGCTTCAGAGACACGAGAAGACCATGGTGGGAATCCGTGCGAATGGGGCGGCTTTGGGCTTGGGACCATGCCCTTCTCACCTCTCAGAGCGCAGGATCGATCCTCTCTCAGCCCCCCACGTACTCCAAAGGGTCGTGCGCCTCCGCACTTGAACTTGACATGTGCTGTCTCTTTGCGCTCTGGAGCATCGCAGGTTAACTCCACTCGGGGAAGGGGATTCTCCTCCGGGGGACCGAAATCAAGGAGATAGGAAGCTCTCCGTCACTTTGCCCGCAAAGTTGCGCGCTACCAAGCACCAAGCACCTACCCCATGTGCTGGCCTGCAGCGGACGGGTTGGACCGCTGGAACAAAGCCACTGCAAACTCCTTGCAGAGCTTCTCTCTTGCTTGAAGAAGCTCGGGAAGGTGGTAACTCTGGGCAGAGGACATAAGGAATACAGAGCAGAACGCAAACACTGTCTTGGTGCAGGTCCGGCCTGTAGCAAGCCACCATCACCATGCCAAGGATCATGCTAACTGCCTGGGCTGCTCTTCACTGCTCTTGGCTGGATAACAGGAGGTATCATCAAATACGGACAGTCGCCGTCCTGCATCCATGGTCACGGCATCAAGACTGCCAAGCGACCATGTAGAGGTGCAGCGTGCGGAATGGCGGAGGGGTGTCTGACGGAGCGTGGTGGATTGTGTGGATTGATCTTTTCGGCTTTTGGGGGTTTGGGAAGTTTAGGGCTTGGAGAGCCGAAGTCGACGAATGGAGCATCAATGATTCGTAGCCAGCCCCTCCTAAACTCGAAGTGAAGCCCAAACCCCCAACCCTGAAACCCTCCATAGCTTGCCTTCCGCCTCCCCCAGAGGCCAAACTCGAGGTACCACCTGGAGCCGGTGGTCAAAGGGGTTTCGGGGTGCACTTGCTGGGTTTCGACTTCAGGGCTTCTGGGCTGTAGGGATTGGTGGCGGGCATCGTAAGTCTTGGGCTCTGGGCGAACTTCTTGAAGCTTAGAAGCATGGGGTTCGGGGCAGTGGGTTTAACTTGGTCAAACCCGTTGAAAGCAACATCTTGCGCCGTTGGCTCTTGCTACTGTTTGTTGCTGCTGCTGTTATGTGCTTCTTTGGCAACGCAAAACTCCAGGGAATCTATGTATGCACTGGAACAAAGTCTCCGAAAGGGTCTCGCCTTTTGTTTCAATCCCCCGCGCCCCACCCCCTTCCGTGCCCCTCCTCCCCCCCCCCCCCCCCCCCCCCGCCCCTCGAGGTTTTCTTGCCTGCAGCGCTGTAGACCGGCTTGACCGGTGCGCCCGGGCAGCAGGTGCCTTTGGGAGCTCCACTTCGGGGACAGGGCAAATAGGACCTAAGGGATCAAAAAATCTACTTTACAGGCTCACGGTAGGACGGGTCTGGAAAGCAGAGCCTTTTGGAGCCTTGCTGGCACTCCAAAGGCATCTCGCCTCCGGCATGTCCCGAAGGGGCAGCTCTGCCTGATTTGGGGAGCCATGAGAGTTATGGGAGCCATGGGAGCCAAGAGGCATATGAGCCCTGGTCGAAATGACTTGAGAGCCACGGGCTGGGACGAAAGCTCTAGCAGGTCCAGGACTGGGGACACGGAGCTAGCAGGAAGAGACAGGCGCCGAGAGATCAAAGCGCCGACCCAATTCATGTGGCAAAGTCAAAGGTTAAAGCGAAGCGGTGCTTCAAGTGAGCCACCATGCACAAAAGTAACACAAAGTTACAGGAAGTTACACAAGTGTACCTACCGTGTATAGACAGACACGGCCAAAAGCTCGGAGGTCAGACCGACGACACATACGGGTGTTGAAAGCGGTGTGTCAGATTGTAGCTATGAGGGTGGGGACCCCTGCAAGCGGGAAACAGGAGAAAACTCAACTCGCTTCGTTTATCTGGGCTACAGGGTCAAACAGGGAGGAGGACCCGGACCAACTGAAGAGGTGCTTCGAGAGTGACCGCAGTTATTGGCGACTGTCGTGCAGACCCTGCTGCGCCTTTTTTTTGGAAGATTTAGGCCTGCAGCGACCCGCCAAAGCACGCCGCCCCGCGAGCATCAGCAGCATCAGCCCGGTCCCGCTTCTCCTCGGAGAGGCATAAAAACGAGTCCACGCCGAGGACCCGAAAAATGTTCCAAAAAACCGTTTTGGGCAACCGCCCTGGGCCCCAAATTCGCCCGGGGACGCCGCGAAAATGTCAGGGTTTTTTGACCAGCCCCCCCCCCCCGCCCCCACACCCCCCCATGGCTCCGCCCCAGCCCTGACGGGGTATTAAACGAAAGCTCTCCAGGGGGAGCTTTCGTGACATTGGGAAGATAGGGCCCATCCCGAACCCTACTCTCTCCTTCAGGGGTTCACCACGCTGAGCGGTTCCATTGCAAGTCTCACGAGAGATCGACACACTCTGTCCGACTCCACTTCGGCCTCTGTGGTGTTGAGCACCACCTCGAGGGGTGGGGGAAAGGGGGGGAGCGGAGGGAAGGGGGAGAAAGAGGGGGGGAAGATTGCAAGTGATCGCCAGGCAGTATCGACAGAGCCTCGCCGAATCCGCGGCGCCTGAAACATTGCCTGGACCCGAAACCCCCATCAAACTCCTCACAAGCCTCTCCGATCTCTGCACCTGAGGTTCATAGGACTTCCTACTTTGTCCCAGACCCCCTCCTCAATCCGGTCCGTGCGGTTCACGCTCACGAGCGCATCGGAGAGGAACAGAAGCGACATCCTCGGGTTGTTGATATCAAACTTACCTGAACCGATCATGAACTCTCAGGAGAGACAATAGTCTGCCCAAGGTGCCACGCCACGACAACCGAAGAGTGCAGCGAAGGCTCATGAAGAATCGTCCCATGGACGTGCTATGGAATCCAAGACTTGCAGTCATGTCTTGTCCTTCCAGGGATCTAGGCATGTTTCAGAATCAAGACGCTCGGCGCAGGCACCACATGCCACAGACCACTCACGACCGGCCGAAATGCAGAGAGCATGCAAGCTCCACAACCCAGCCAGCCTGTACCGAATTTAATATGGCTGTAGTTGGTGAGGGATAAGCCACTTACAGCTGCGAGCATACAAGAAAGGCTATATCTGCTGCTTCCGTGGCGAACAATACTTCTGAAATTAAACCTCCAGCACCCCATACAGTACAGAGCCTCTATGAGTGGCAATGACGTGCAGAACCGCGCATTAGACCGCCCGGTAGCATCTTGTTTTTTCCGCCAACATCACGAGCAGGCAGTTTCACGGCTGCACAAACTTAGATCAAACCCCACATGTCATACATATGCATCTATATACATCTATGTCTATAGATATAGAGAGAGAGAGAGAGGGAGTGCTTGTTCACTTGCCTCCGCTCGACCCGGTTGCGAACTGGGGTTTGGGGGGCTCTTGCCCGAGAGTCCCTTGCAGCAGATTCTTTTCATGTGGGAGACTGGCAGCACAAAATGTGAGGGATCCTCAGGTTGCCCTCGATACCATACGATTGGCACATGTAAACTGCAAAAGGACTCCTTGCAGGAGCATGAAACTGCAAGCTCCTAATTAGGGGCGGAGGTCAGGCGAGACTTCCTTCCCCAGCCTTGGCTTCTTGAAAGCGCGGGCAAGAGTCTGTGATGTTGAGGCCATGTTGGGGGGGGGGGGGGGCATATTTGGGGGCCTCTTCCTCTGGACTACTCTGAAGCTGACTCTCAAGCTGACTCTCAAGTTGACTCTCGAGACGACTCTCTCAATGCAGCGCCGCTCCGGCCGAGCGACTTCTTCCCTCCTCGGCCGCCGCGCCGCCGCGGGCTCGAAGGGAGCGGAAGGGAATCGTCCTTTGAGTCCCTTGAGCTGCCAGCGGTCAGGCGTCGCAGGCGTGAGGACGGCTGAAGGCCGGCGGCGGTCATGCAGCCCAGCATCTCAGCGGCCACGTCTCGGCTCTTGCTGTGGGCCATGATCACGGCCGACTCCAAAGTCTCCCGGTTCAGGCGGACACTCGGAGAACCCATTGCATCGGACAAGACCTGAGCGGCCCGCACGGCCTCCCCGTACTTCACGCAGCCGCTGAGAAGGGTGTCAAAGGTCTTCCCGTCTGCTTCACAGCCATCCTCGAGCATTTGCCGGTATGACTCGAAAGCCTTCGGCAAGTCACCACTCCAGATGCAAGTGGCCATCATGCAGGTGTAAGCCTGCGCATTGAGTCGGAATCCGAAGCGCTTCGGATAGTCGTCAAGGACATCAAGGGCCGCCTGCAGATCCCCGCAGCGGCCGTAAAGCTTGATGAGGATGGACACTGTGAAGTTGGAAGGCGCCACCCCAGCTTTCCTGGGCAAGCTCATGGACCCTCTTGATCCTTGAACCCTCCCGAAGATGTTATCACACCCAAAATCACATGTCCAACTCGTCAAGCAAGGAGCTCCATGTCACCAAGCACCTCAGCTTTCTGCAGCTGGCCTCTGACTATCCGTATACGGATAGACCCACCCAAAACCCTACCCCAACCACAGCGCCAGCCCTTGTAGAGCGCCTCCTCTGTCAGAGCACGTCGCTGACTCCGAGCACAGCCATGCCTTGCTTGTCGAAAGGGGAAAGGGAGTGTGAGTACGGCGAGTCTGGGTGAAGGGGTGCTGCAAGATCGCCAAAAGCTGATCCGAGGCGCAGGATGGAGTTGAAGAGGATCGAGTCAGGTTGGATCCCCAGGCCCTGCATCTGGCCGAGGAGCAAAATGGCCATCCTTGGATGAAGAACTCTGCTCCAACCAGCTCCAAACAGCTGCCCGTCCCAAGCTCCGGGGAGCTGCATCCACCCCACCACCATCTCGTGCTCAAGGACAGAGTCCCGAAATCCGATCTTTCGGATCTGTTTAAACAGGCTACGATCATATCTCCCTACAGGCGCGCCGCAGCGCTGTGCTTGCTCCAGTCATTTTTTCAAGCCAAGTCTCTCGAGATCTCCGGCACTCGCAAAGCCTTCGAGGGCCAAGTCGTTAAGTCGTTGTTGGCTGCTGGTTGGGTTACAAAGTTGGAAAGTCTCTGCCTCCTTCTCAAAGCCCAAGGCCCGAAAGCTCACCGAGGCAAGACTAAGCCGCCCTGCCTTTGATAAGGATGGAGAAGCTGATGAGATCAGGTCCTGAAGCACGGGCTGAAGGTCGCTGTAGGCTCCGCACCTTGAACCTCGAAACCCTAAGGTTCCCCAGACCCCAGAACCCCAGCACTGCTTAGGCGCCTGGATCGTGGCGGGCCATGTCTCGAAACAGTTGCATGGCTCGTTTTAGATCTCCTGCCCGTACCAGTGCCTGAGTCAAACAGAAGTCGCTTAAAGTCGGGTGTGGGGGCTTTAGGGACCTGAGCTATGGGTGCGAAGCAAGGCTGTGGATTCGCCTGAGTGCTTGCCTTGCTGAGGTTTCTTCCGTCTTCCCGCGGTCCTAGTCAGCAAACCCACGGAACCTTACAGAAATACGGGGCAACAGCCACAGTTCCTTAAATCGACTTGCCACCTGGCCGACTTCTTGGCAGTGCTTACCATAGACATCCCTGAAAGATCTGAAAGACGAGAACACTGACCTCTAACCATGACGGTCTCGCATGGGTTCTACATGGTTCTACCCATCCACCAAGCTACATCAATCAGCGTGTTGTACGTGACCGCCGTGAGCCGGAGCACGCCCTTCGTCTCCTCGTAGAGCCTGAAACGAGTCGATTTGAGAGAACATATAGTCACAAGCAACAGTTCAGAGAGCGCTGAAAGCAGTTCACTGTTTACTTCAGCTGCAGCTTCACGTTAGGCTGGCCTCACTAACTATGTTATCTGTCTCGTCGAATACTCTTCGAGTTCAAGGTGCTCCACTGCCGCCACGAGCTGCTGGGACTGTGTCGCAGCCTGAGAGCAAGCCATGATCTTCTTAAACAATATTACTGACGATTCTACTGGCTGATTTCATTAAAGAAACCTGAGGGCTCCTCCACAAAGTCTTGGCCCAATCCTCGACCGGTGCCGACCTCAGAGCCGAGGCACCTTCACGGCCAGCGCGAAGGCCACGGCGGCTCGTGGAAAGCCCGCAAGCCACGCTCGAGATTCCTGCAGGAATCCACACCAAGACGCAAGACGTATACGAAAAGTGTCTTCCCTGAGGCCTGAATCTCCCATTTGGCCACCTGAATTCAAAGCCAGCCCCCCCAAAACCATGGCAGCGACGCTCCTTGAAAACGCGCAAGGCAGCCTTCACATCCGAGGTCGCAAGGCAAGCATCCACCTTGCTTCCGCCATGCGCTTTGCTTATCAGGAGTCCGATGCGACTGCGGGTCGGGAGGGCTGTTCCATGGACAGTTTTCACTTGATTGGGGGCTGTTCGAGTTAAAAGACCGTAACAAATCCTAACCAAATAAAAGCATTAGAAGCAAGGAGGAAATGGGATAGTAATGAGAGTCCCATAAATGAGTGAATTTCAGGGGCCGTGCATTCACTTCTTTCATAACGAGCCCATACCCATACTCTCAGTGAAGGATATCAGTGAATTAGCAAAATCCTTTACTTTTGACTGGCTTTTGTGCCGTGAGGACAAAAACTAACAACTGCGGCTTTCCCAACAATAGCCCATTTATCTGATGTTGAGAGAGCGCATTGAATCCCCAGCAGAGATCTCCGGACTAAATATGAGACAACGAATAACCGGATTTCACAGCTGAGCGGCCATGCTCATGAAGGCATCCTTGCAGATCGTGCCAAGTACAACGCAGTGGGCACAGTGGGGCTACTTTATGGCCAGGGCGATCTGATGCGCATGTTACTTCGTGCCTGCCCTAAGACGACCCCCATGCGAAAGGCGACCCCAAACTCCTTCTGCAAGAAAACAAAAAGACCCACGCAAGCAAGACCTACCGCAGAGTACCGATTCCATAGGGTTTCGGACATCAATTCACTCTCGCACAAGCAATGGCAACTCCAACTTGGGCGAACGAAGAACAGCTCTACAGACCCACAAGCTCAGAGCAGCTAGACACCTCATGCGGACTCCTCATGCCGAACCCCACATGTTCCTTAGATGACGCAACATGTTAACGACTGCATCGCGACGCTCCCGTGGAACGCCCACGTGTCATGAAACGACCTGCCCCGAAAACAGGTCACATACTAGAGAACTGCAATGTGGTGCCCTTATTGACAGGCCTCTTGCATACGCGCGACGCCATCGTATAGCACCTAGTACAGTAGCATACTCAACTAATATTCAACCAATCGGGTTCCTAGTACGAATGAACATGCTTGGAGCTTGGAAGCGTTTCGATAGTTTACCAGTAGCCATCATTAGCAGACCCTTCGAACATTCCACGGAGTCAGCAGCAGCCCTGTCCTCCGTCAGCGTCCTGTCGTCGGCCAGCCTAAGAAGGGAGTCAGCAACACATGAATCAGGTGCTCCCACTTAGATTTCTTCCGACCCAAAAACAGCTCTTCACTCCAGCCCGAACGCCAGCACCCGAAGTGACACTGAGGGCACCAAAGATTCGCCGAACCAGTTCTCGAAGGCAGAGTCTCAGGGCTCAAGGGTGTAAGGGCTCCGGAGCTGTGGGGTTGGGGCCTCCCTCCCACCTTTGCAAAATAGCAGCACGCTCTGTACGTTACCGACGGGTCTTAGGGCAAGGCTCAGGGTTGAGAGTCAGCCTCCAGTGCTCCAGCAGGTCTTGTGAAAGCCCGAGCGGCAGCCGCCCCCAGAGGCGCCAGGCCTCTGGCAGATTCCTTGCATGTCCATGGGCGCGCATCAGCATCACGCAGGCCTGGTCAAGGGAAGGGCCCTGCTCCCAACTTCACCTCCCTACCCGTCGACGCGGGGCTGCTGCCGTGCTAGAGATTCTTGCCTCTCCGTGCGTAACCTACTCCCCTCACTGCCAGTGCATGTCCCCCAAAGCATTGTATTCGCCGCGGCACGTGGGGCGAGGGAGCGAGACCAGTTGTTTCCCAACGGCCGAGTAGTTCAGGCAGTCGCGAAGGCTCCTCTGCAGCAAAATGCTCTTGCTCAGGAACAAGTGCAACTCTCTTGGGTTCTTAGGGGCTGAGAGAGCTTGCCCTGCCAAGGCACTTTCAGCCGGATACAGACATCCAACAGGCAGTTCAGAAGCACTTCATCCAGCACAATCTTGCCTTGCCGTCGCATACAAGTTGGAGACTGTTGCATCCCAACGGCTCTGACTCCCAGACTCATATGGTCATCTTCTCTAAATGAGAAGAAATGTCAGGTACCTGTCAGAATACGGACCCACATATTTACGGTGGCCCGAAAAGGTACCACGCCTCAGACACCTGGCCATACCCTCGCGCTTTAGGCAAGGATTGAGTTGACAACCACAGTTGCGCGCAAAAACAAAGCACGAGGACTTCGAAGGACTTCGACGAGATTAGCAGCACCAAAGGTGATCATGGCCATGGGAAACTCAGCCTTTGGACATCAGCTCCAGGATTTGGTCCAGCCCATGCGGCGTTGGAGAGTGCCGCAGGCCTGGCCAAGCTTCCACAGCTTTTGCTGCTTTGGGAGCTTCGGAGCTCTCAAAGGTACTGTAGGCCTCCCTGACCTTTCACCCCTCCCCCACCCCCTCCTCCGAAAAACCACCCAACGCCTGCGGACTCCAAAGGCTGGGTGGACGTGGGCGAGATGAAACGTGACATTGCGAGCGCGAAGGAAGTTTTGAAAGGGCCTGCAGCAAGGATGGAACAGGTGAAGGCGTCTGGCTGCAGGCCTGCCCTCTGCATCTCCTCGCAGGGAACACAGAACTAGCAAGCGATGCCCATTAGGCGCCCAGGTCCCTTCGTGCTCCGAAGCTTTCTGCAGCCCTGTCCTGCACCAGTTGCCACGCTTGCCGCAGATTCTGCTGCGAAGCCTACAGCTGCGCACTGGGACAGAACAGGAAGAAGGATTTCATGCCTCTGATGCCCAACTGCCCAAGTCTGCACTCCTTGTAGATAGACATAGATAGTATGACTGATACTTTCAAGGAGCGAGACGTATGAGGATGAATGCAAGACCTCGAATCGAACATCTTCCAACGCCGACATCCTGAATTATGTGCCGATTCGTACCCTTCTGGTCAGTACACAGGTCACAAAAGTCACACAAAAGCCAACGTCGTTAACTGCAATAACACCGCAACCTCTGTCAGCTCCACCCTGGAGCAGGCCGTAATGGCCCTGAAAGTGCCTTCCTCAGTGCTTGCAGCGCTCTGATGGTGTGCATCCTCGCCTTGATGAGGGAGTTGTAGGTTACCACGTTGGGCTGGATCCCCCTGCTGCGCATGTCCTGACCACCGGCCGCAAAAGAAAGAGAGAAAGCAAAGGAAACAATACAACCTCGCGTCTGTTTGGACCTCTTGGGCAGCCAAGAGCATTTTCACACAGCAAGGCTCCGATGTCCTGCAGGGTCCTTTTCACCTGAGCGTGGTCTTGCAAGCTGAGGAGGAGCTTCACATACCTGAGGCCACCGAGAAAAAACGAGACCGACACTACCTCAAGAGAACCGCAGAGCCCCTCCACAACCAGAAGGCTTAGCACGAGGACGGACAGGACGAAACTTGTGAACATGTTGTTTTTGGCCTTGGCAAGAAGCTATACGGACACGTTCTCAAACATGTTGACTTGAGCTCCCCGGGCTCAAGATGCATACGGAATGCTAGGATCTGTGCCGACCACAGCACAACCATGACTGTGTGCGAATAGCGAAGGGCAGCGTGAAAATAGATACCAAGGGCAGCGTCAAACGGAAACCCTTGTGACCTTAAACCCTAACCCCGTGCCCTCTCTGCTGCGCCCCGATGGTCGGGGGCTATTGAAGTCGCGAAGCATGCGTAACCCCTTCTGACTCTAAGGACGCTTGTCGTGAAGCACCCGCACTGTCTGCCACCACAGGGGCGTATTGTATGAGACGACATCGACATGACCAGCCTTCCTTAGCCAGTCAGGTGCATACATCTGCGGGGTCCCGCCGAAGATCATCTGAGTGCCAATCTTCTTCGACCAAGGCACGTCATCTTCTGCATCAGGTTCTCGGCTGCCTTCCGGTCACCGCAGACCACACAGGCCTCCCAGCCAGGCACCACACTCAAACCCATGTACAAGAAAGAGTTCTCGATCTCTGCAACAAAGAGACAGCTTAGCAACCGACATATGGGGGTTTCCGAAGTTAAGGGTACCTTACTGGGGTCCTTATTATCAGGGAATCCTACAAAGGATCTATATTGGGGTAGCCTGTTTTGGTAACCCCGCATATCACAAAAGCCCTGCAATCCTGATCGACTCGTGCCTCCAATGCACAGTTGTAGGTGGTCGCATCAAGTTGCTCTGGCCTGTGCGCCATTCCCAGGCTTTTGAGCACAGCCGAATGCTTCGGAGAATGGGTAGGCCCTGATACTTCAGAAAACCAGCCCCAGGCTAGCAGATTCTCCAAGCAATGGGCTCGAACCGCACAATCCATCCTCCCGGAAAAAAAGCAAAGGCTCCGGCATCTTCTCCAGCTCTCCCAGAAGGCTCAGAGCCTTCGTAACGTCCCTGTCCCGGCCGGCTGAGCGGATCATGGACATCACGTTCATGACCTTGAAAAGGTTTTGAAGCACGCTGGACCGAGGCCGTGGACAAGACCGAGACCCTTTGCTTCAACTAAAACACCTACTGCTGAAACTTCGGCGAATCGAATCCCGAACCGAAACAGGGATGTGATAAAAGGAGAACAGCATGACTGCTCTCAGCGCGTGGCGTCAGGGTTCTTGGACTCCTGCCCGAGGCGGCGCACGCTCTCACGAACGGAACGCTTAAGTCCAGATCTTGGCGGGAAGGCTTCAGCCCGAAACCCAGAGCCCCTGGACAAACCTGGACCTCCTGCCCCGATGCCCGGGACACATGACATGAAGCTCAGGGGCTCGGGAACCTGACGCAACACTCCTCTAACTCAGTCCTAACAATCAAAAGCCTGAGCTCATATCCGCGTTGAGCACCCTAAATATCCAAACCATTTCTCTCTAACTCATCTCCCTGCCTGGAAAAGGTGCCTCGCTAAGGATTGGCGGCCACCCTCAACGGCCGCCTGTTTGCGGCAGGGAATCACAGCATAGGTACGCTAATGTACCCTCTGTGGTCTCTTAAGGTGGTTTGGGACTGTGTAAGAGCAGACACTTTGAAGGGGAAGGACAGCAGAAACCCGACGCCTCCGTGAAGGACGAGCATGAGTTTGTGGTCAAGAACGTGAAAAGAAGCGCGCTAACCCGAAGGCATCCGAAGGCAATCGCTTCTTGAAACCAACGGACAACGACAATTCGAGTCCATTCGCAGCAAGAAAGACGGCGCTGTGAATCAATGCATCGTGCTTTCTATCATATTTGCAGTTGGGTGCGCACGTGAACGCCAGGCTAAAGGACGGCTCTACGGCTACGACGTGCACGGCTGGTGGCTTGTCCAACGATGCTGCTTCGACAGTGGAAGCGGTGCCGGCAGCCGTGCTGATTCGCATCAGTCCCGTGCTGAAGCACATGAGCGGTGATATTCGTCGCCGCGGGGCAGTTGTTCTTGGATCCCAACACCAGAAAACTGCTTCGGGATTACCACGGGTTGCGCTTGAGAGTGCCGATGCCGCGTAGGTGCCAGATCGCGCGATTCCCTGGAATGCTCAGCTGGTGGGGGCAGAAGCTCATGCTGCAGCACTGCGTGGAGCAAAAAAGCCAGATCTCACAAGTCGTTTTGTGAGCAGGCCTCGAGCTGGAGCACAGTTTCGCAAACCCAAATGCCACAAGTAATCATCTCAAGGTGCGACCCGCAGTTCTGGATGTCACAAGTGACAATTTGCAGATGTTACAAGCTCCTCGCAGCCCGCTCGAAATCCTGATTCATCCAACGAAACCAAGCGGCGACTCATCAACAGAGGGCAACGAGGAATACAGGCTAAATACGCCCACACTCTCGGTGCTCTCTGTGGGTTCGGGACATTCGGGCGCGCCGATGCCTTGATCAACGCGCCGTAGGTTGCGGTGTCGGGCGTGATGCCTCTGGAAGAGAACACGACCGATGCTAAGCTTGGCTAACTTGCGAGGCGGAAGCTTTCATGCCACACACACACACACACACACACACACAAAAAAAAAAAACAGCACTCTGGGCTCCTGCTCTTTGGAAGTCCATCTGGAGATCGCAGGCTTTGTCCCAGAGCTTCGCTTGGCTGTAGACTTTGAGCAGGGAGCTGTACAGCGGAAGGCTGGGCCCGTACCTCACTGCGAAAGCTGCAACAGAGAAGACAGGGGAGGAGAAGCAGAAGAAGAAGCATCCCTCAGACGAGAGCAATGTGAAGTCATGAGGCATAACCGCAGCAGCTTACGAATCGTTGAGGGGCATTTCAGCTCACCGCTCCAGCTACTACATAAATATCAACTCACGCCCAAGAAAACTTCGGGTGGTGATGCTCGAACAAACGGTTTGTACACTCGGCGTACACTCTGCTAAACCTTCGTTGCCTCTCCCCTATACCTGGATGCCTGAAACCCCCCTCGCAGGTTCAGATGCCTGGCCACGCCGAAAGCAGCAAACTGCTCCGCAAGACGAACAGCCTCGCACGCGGTGACAAGAAGATAAGTACCCTGACCCAATGACCCAAACATGGCACCGAAAGCCTTTTCAGGCAAGGGTATCATTGTTAGGTTGGCCGTTCCTGCTTAAAGGAGAGCAGGGCTGGCGAACGGCCAATCTCTTGCGACCATGGTTCTCGCTACCCATCGCAGAGATCTTGCCAAAGCTATAAGCCCAACTTTAGATTCAGAAGCACCGGGATCCCTTCATCACCCCCAGCAGACCAATCAAGCCAAGGAGACCCACAACTAGCTACCAGTGATTCTGAACTGGCTTGGATCCATAGGACGAAATTTAGCTCTCATCTGCATCGCATTGACGTGTTGCATAACGGCCGGAACAAATCGACGAGTATCGATAGCTCACACACGCGCGCGCACACACACACACACAAACATGGATGTTTGTGAGCCGACGTGTCAAGGCTGCACAGGATCCCCAAGCGCCAGTGATTGTGTCATGCTACAGTGCTCCGCTGCCTGCGAAGTAGCGCAGAGCGCAATGGTGCCACACAGGACTGCCTGCAAACTAATGGAGAATTGTTGGTGAGGTTTCTTGTTCACCCCGACTGCGCAAGCCCATCCTTCCACAACTGTATATCAAAATGCTCTGCACACGGCGTAAGTTTGCCATGAACATTCCTCAGCGCCACCAGATTCTGCGGTGCCTCTGAGGGGCAGAGGTTCGCCAGCAAGGCCTCACAGGCCTCGACGCAGCTCGCCAAAGTGGCTTGGAGATGCTTGGAGTGCTGTGGGCCTTCTGCACTTCTGCACACTTCCCTGCCTCGCGGTGCCCAGCCACATCGCCGCAGCTTGCAAAGCCACGCAGAAGGGCCTCGTGAGGCGTCAGACAGCATCTCAGTATAGGATGGAACGGCATTCACACCTCGGAAGCAGAGCGGCATGTCTCCCCCTAAGCATTCATACGGTTTCCAAGTACCTCATACACTGCAGAAACACTATGACTCTCCCACAGCCGCCAAGGCCTCGCAGCCACTGGGCGGCAGCTGCACTGCGGCTTCTCGGCTCAAGCGGACGACCTGCGCCCGCGTTGATAGGTACAGGGCGTACACGGGACGTCCACTTCTATCGGTGTTGGCCGAACTGTACCCAGCTTTGTTCTGAGAATCAAACGTTCGTCGTATGTCGAGCCCTGCACCCATATGACATCTGCACCCTTTTGCCTCCAGCATTACGCTGCCATCGCGAGCCAAGGCGGCACCCTGCGCCAGTGCTGCCATAGACCGCATCGAAATCGTCGATTCTCCTTCGAAAAATCAACGAATGCGCCGGCTGAGACATGTACTGTGGATGGTTCAGGGCTTACGAACGTTTACGGCACAGCAGTCGTTTTCAACATCGTGTGCGTTTGCTCCAGTTCTTTAAACGTAGTGCGCTTCTTCTCATCGTGATCGTTCTTGTCAGTCCTAACGCAGGAGTGGGGGGGGCATGAGAATCGCGTATTGAACGGAGATCAAGGAAACGACAATGATAACGGAAAACATGTGCTTCTCCGGCGCCCCTTGTCAAAGCAAAAGGAACTTCCCACCCATCCCGGCAGTCCATGCGGCCCATGCGGCAGTCTCTTCACCATCTTGGCGGCAGCCTTGGGATTCGGTTGTAGGGCCTGGTCGGGCCTTGTAGGGTTGACCCTCATGACTTCCGATGAGTGCGGTTTCCACGAGCTTGGAAAATTGTTGCTTCCCGAAGCCCTAGAGTGCAAGGCAGAGTGGAAGAATGAGCAGTCGAATGCAGTTGAAGGCACCTCTGGACCGTGGTTTCGGCGAAGCAGCTCGAAGAGTAAGGCCTGCAGCAGGAATGGGCTCCTGTTCTGAGGCTTCAGACTAACCAAAGGCTCTTTTTTGGGTTTAGGGCGTTTAGGGTTCAGAGCTTACAGGTCCGGATGTAGAGAGCCGTAAAGCAAGACTGGCAGGACTCCAGTGACGCTCTGGGAAACTCTGAGGTGCTTTGCTGAAGACAAGGCGCCAAGTCTGAAGGCGAGGGCGGCGGAGACGCCGTGGACAGTAGGGTGCTTGCTGCCTGCAGGTGTCTTGTTTATTGGTCTTGGTAACAGCAGTGTGGTGAGATTGCTGGCAATGTGCCGAACATCAATGGCTAGAAAGCAGTGCGTGAAAGTAGCTGTGCGCCATGCCGATGGGCTGCTACAAGGCTCACGCACAGCCAAGCGCGTCAACGGAATGAAAGACTTTCGCATCATATCTGCGGACAGTTGCCGGTGGACCAGCCGCCGGAACAAAAAAACAAGAATGCTCCATGCAAAAAGCCTCCATTACTCCCCCGCTCCGACCTCGTCTGAAAAGCCCGTGGCTGCCAACTGGTTCCATTTGGTTCCGATTTTGCCACGAATTTCCCACACAGTGTTGTTCGATGCTTGCGCCCTGACACCGAGTTACAGTTCTGTGGTTCATCCCTGTGGCTCAGTGGATGTGGAGCTCATGGAGGCACTGAGTCAGAAACTGCAACCTGAGATCCTTCAAAAATCTCAGACATCTTCTGGCAGCACTCCTAAACTCTACGTGCATATGTAGAGAGGCACTGTTTCACATGATTGAAGAGCCCAACTATGAGAGCCGAATAGAGTACTCCAAGCAGGAAAATCGTAGAGTACTTCTCAGAATAATTTGACAAATATTTCACAACAGGGGCTTCCCACTTCAACTGCGCAACAACAAAACAGCACAACAGGGAGATCGAAGGCCTCGGCAGCAGCAGTCCTTAGATGCAAGAGAAGAAGGGCGAACGCGAGCACAGCACCAAAGGCCATGGCCACCCAGCATCATCCACTATCATCCGGCATCCCTTTTGGGAGCCCCTAGCAGCAGACCACGTTGCAATACCCTCTGCACTCCGGGGGTTAATGTGCGTGACGAGGGGAACCACCTAAGATGAGGCTTGTAACTTGTACCCACCCCTTGTTGCTTCGTTTACTGAGCGTGCGAGCCACGCATTCTGCTCGCGCAGGGCCGTCTGCAGCTGAGGGAGAGGTTGTGGGGTGTCCAACCTGAAAAAGGCCATGGTGCACGCCGTCTACGCCCAACCCTTTTTACACATAGGGCCCAAATCTAGCAAATACCATGCGCATCCTGCCAACTTACCCGTCCCAGTCCCACCACGCCTCCGACTGGTCAAGATCCGGCGGCCGTTGCCGGCATCGCCTTTCGGCGAAGGGCACTTCACTGCACCTCAGGCACCGAAGCAATGCTGGCAGATCAGAAAGTCTGCCTGAGGCATGATGAAGCATGACATGTTCCGGCATGGACCTGCTTTGAATGTGCCACAAAAAACTTGCAGTTTTGAAATTCTGAGATGCTGGCCAAACGGACGCAGCAGCTTCTGCTGGGCCATTCGGATGAGGAAAAAGCCAATGCAGAAGCAGAGTAGGAGCACGGCTTCAACATATACCTTGCAAATCTGCGACGATCAAAGAAACAACACGGCATAACTCCTTCTAACAAGACATGAGACTTAGGCCGATGTCGCACCTCATCCCAGACGAACAGCAAAATCTGCTGCGTCGAGTAGAGAGCCATGGAGTTTTGCTACAGGGCACCTTGCGGACAAAGCAGTGGCTGCATGTGCAGTCTCCCAGAACCATGGGGATCCATGGGGCATCATGCCCAAGGTGCAGCGTTAAAAAGGCGTTGCACGTCGAGGTTAATTTTTGTCAAGACCTTGCATGGAAGGGATTCTCTTTGCAAGCCTGCATTGAGCATATGAGCGACTGCCAAAACCGGCGGGCGGCGCTATTGGACGCAACATGAGGGGTGTCGCTTTCCCATTGTTATCATCGCTTTACAGGTTTTTAGCATCAGGTATCCACGCTGTATATCTGAAGGTGTCGCTTTGGGAAAGAAACTTCAAGGCTATAACCAACCAAAACACATCAGTAACTTAGGGGTGTCGCTTGTCAGGTATTCCCATCGCTTTACAACGTTTTGGGCATTCGTGTCCATCCCTCGCTTACTTGAATGGCTGGGGGTTTTGGCGCTTGCTTATATGAACGCAAACGTGCGGCGGAGAGCCCTAGCAGGCCTGCGAAAGTGCAGCAGACCGCACGTGGAGGAAGAAGCTAGCTACGTTGTTGGCAGATACCTCAGTCGAACGTGCTGCATGTCTGAATTTCAAAGCTTCGAGGCGAAAAAAGCGAAGACAAACTGAGCTCACTGAGCTCTCCACGGAAACAGGGCATCGATCCAACAAGATGGAGCTTGAGCCCTGCCTGCGGTGCCCTCGAGAAGTTGACCAGAAGCATCAGCTCACGAATCGAAGCAACTACCAAAGCTAAAAGCCCTGGCCTACTGGACTTGCCCCAATCGAGAAAAACCTTGAGACACAATCATGATCCCAGACTTCCCCGTGGATTCTCCCCACCCCCCCCATCCCCCCCACCTTGGCCGAAGGCGTGAAGGCACACAGGATCTGCAGAGCCTCGAGTCGCGAGGGTCCGAGGCTTGAGGGTCTCTCTTTCGATTCCGACTAGAGCCACTAGAGAGAGAGAGAGAGAGCGAGAGAGAGAGAAAGAGAGAGAAAGAGAGAGAGAGAGAAAGAGAGAGAGAGAGAAGTGTGGCTCGCCCTGAGTAAGATTCCTAAACTCCAGAACCTTCCTTAGCTCTGTTGCCTATACCAAGCTTGACCAGCCGCGCAAATCTCGGCCCTAAACACTCTCCCTACGTAGTCGGGCCCTCGATGGGGCCCTGAACGCTAAATCGCCACGCATATGCCACGCAACACAAGGCCAACAGCTCGTGCGAATTGCATCTGCACACCAAGCTGACAGGAACTTCCTCCTGAACCGCGAAACCCTGAACAGCCATTCCGTTCCCCAAAAGCATCCGTCGAATCACCCGGGTCCAAAGCGCGAAGGCACCAAGGATCTGCACAGCCTCGACAGGTTTGGTAAACACCCAAACCCGGCAAACCCCGAGCCCTACACTCTAGACCAACCCAACCCATACCATGGGGAGGGAAACGTTCTTTAACTATCTCTGATAAAGGCGACCACATGGGACCTAGCTCGCGTTCTGACATGCACCAATCGTCAACGGACCTCGTGAGTTACACGAGGGAGCTCGGCGAAAATACCGACATGAAATTATCAGGTCACAAAAGAGCACATCTAGACTCACTTAACGTCACTTAACTGAATCGATGCTGTGCTGAGCAATGTCGGTGCTTCGGCCGGCTTTACAGGAACTTGCCGACATCCTGCCTCCGCGAAACACGAGTTTGCAGTCGGAATAGCAATGTTCCAAATTCAAATCCCATGAGACCGTCTGCTTGGGATAGACATCTGTGTATGAATCTCCAATGGCCCAAGTTCAGGGTGCAACCCCACAACATGCGCCTCTCCTCTCCCGTCTGCACAGCCACATGGACTGAGAATGACTCTGAGAATGACCCTGAGGCCTAGGATGCCTGGACAACTCAGAGCCAACATGCTGTTTAGGTTTTCTTTTACGCGCCACGCGACACACTGCACCCGCAGGCCTCAGCCTGCTGAAAGCTGAAACGGCTTGCCGCCAGCTCGCTTCGTCTTCCTGGGCTGAGGGTTTTTTTTTGGAAGCTTCGGGCGAAGCTCGGATGCTTCTCCCCCCACCTGTGCGGATCGACCAGCGAGCCCGCTGCTCGTTTCTTCGGAGGGCCAGCAGAGGGTGGCCTGAAGCCCAGAATAGCCCAGAGATGTGCAAAGGGGAGCCAGGAGCCTTTGGCTTGGTCTCTGGGATCTTGGTTTCAGCTGCCACTTTGCATGTCAGTCCCCGGATTCAGAGTTGCGAGGTGCCTTTCTCTCACAGCTATCCCTGCCACAGACAGCCTGCCTCGAAATTGTCATTGGCCCTGTCGCTGGTGCTGGCTCAGAGGCGGCTCTCGTGAGAAGTGGGTCCTGCATACGCAAAGGCGGCAGCAGGCTCAAAGCGAAGAATGCATGGAAGGGCAGGCTGCGCGTGAAAGGCAAGCAGTTTCAGCAGTCCCGCACCATCGTTAACTGTGAGCCTGTGTGGTGACAGATGGTGACAGGAAGCAGTAGCAGCACACCCTTTCACACGATCACAACGACCAGAGCAAAGGGTACAAGCAGCGTAGCTTCTTAGGACCAACTCAACCAAACTTCCCATCGGCCTGTGTCAGGCTTGGCATCGGGCCGGCGAGGCGGGCCGCTGATGTCGGCGTCTGAAGGCTGGGAAGCTTCACAAACTCTCGAGCTCACCCCCTACCCCACCCCCCCCGGTAGTTGCGGTAGTTTCATGGGTCAGTTTTCTAAATCGCGTGGTTTCACGAATCGTGTGAAACCAGTTTCCTGGTTTCCTGAACCGCGGTTTCCTGTTTCGCATGAAACCGGCTTCCTGAATCGCGTAGTTGCCTGACTCGCATGAAGCACCACCGGAGTTTCCTGTCGTTCACAATTAACATGAGATTTCTGTTGAAGACCTTTGAAGACGATTTACAAGAGCGGCTCCCGGAACCCAAACAGCACGGCTATTCAGAAACAGGGCATCCCAAACTGCATCCCTCCTTCAATCTGCTCCACTCAACGGCGGCCCGACCCGCATGAACTGCGACACTGCGCAAGTTGCAAAAAGATCTGAGCCGCAAACCCTAAAACCGAGACCCAGAAGCCTACACACTACCCGAGGGAAGCTGAATCCAGCCTTCGATGCCTCAGAGGACTCTGCGGCAATGGCGTCCAGGACGAAACCACGAAGGCCCTGAGCTGGAGAATCGTCACCCGAATACGGCTTTCAGGGCACAGTGCTGGGTGCCCGGTGTCCCTGACATGTTCTGGATGTCCCCGGCAGTCCTGTAAGAAGTCTCGCCCCTCCGTAGAAGCGGCGGGCATCGATGCAATGGCCTGCACACTTTCGCAGCCCGGTAGCTGGCGAAGCCCGTCGCACTACAGGGGCAAAATGTGAGGACCTGCTGCATTCCTGCTGTACTACAGGTAAGGCTCACACAAGCACAAGATGCCAGCAGTCAGTAGCAGTAGAGGCGATGAACCCGAGCTGTTATGGTGTGACACATGCTCCGCTTCATTGAAACCTGCCAGCCCTTGCTATCCAAGCCTCCTGAAGCCTGAGATGCACTGTGACCCCAAATCCCTCAAAATCCCGCGACTAAAAAACCCTTGACTTACTTCTCATACTTCTCCTCAGTTCTCCTCAGTTCTCCTCAGTTCTCCTCAAGCCCTGAGCTGCCCCGCGCTCCTCCAGGTGAAGGTGGGCCGCCAGCACAGCGCTCTCGAGACGGAACCGGAGCTCCAAACGCTTCCTCAGTCCGTCGTGCCAGTTATCACAGCTGTGGGTTTAGGGCAGTTTAGAGTTTAGGGGAGGTCTAGGGCTTGGGGAGGCTCACAAGCTGTCGGCACTCATCGACCGCTGGTCTGTGTACTCCGTGGACTCTGGCCTTTGGTGTCTCTGGTGTGGTATTGTACTTCGTGAATGTACCTACCTGGCCCATCTCATGTGATGGTCGATCGCATTGCACAGCCGTCGAGAAATTGTGGGCCGCGCCCACTGGCAGTGCTGCTGGCCACCGTCGCACAGCCCTCCTCGCAACAGGGCTTGACGCTGGTTCCACTAGCGCACCTACTGTGATTGGGCAGTGCAAGGAGCTGCAGGCGTTACATGCGAAGCTCTCCAGTGTTTTGGCGGTACAGACAAGCTCGTGAAACTATCGCCTGGCCACTGAGGGCTGAGGAGAGAAGCTGCAGGAACGTTCGCCAGGCAAACTCCGCCATGCCTCGCATCAGTTTTCTCGGATTTTGGGAGACGCTCTGCTTTTGGAAATGGGGGGAGGGGGGGCGGATCTGGGTATGTGGGCTTAGGACTTGCTGGGTTCAGTAAGTATGGGTTTCAACCTTGGGGTAACAGCTGCCGGTTGCCAGACTCGAAACCAAGCCGGGCTTTGTTGGCATTAAGGTGCTGTCATTGACAACTTGAGTTTGATCCCGGATCACGGCCAGGTTGGTGTTCGAGTTATCACCTCCAAAACATTGCCTCGGCTTCAGCTTGTCAGCTAGCAGCTAGCGGATTGATCATAGAATGTTTACCTTTTCCTCATTGGATTCACACGATGTCGATGGCGTCTGAGCGTCGGTCAGGACAAGTTGAGCCGATTGCATGTGAAACTATGGTCGCAACAACCAACAACCGTACTGACAATAATGACCATGCTTGCAACGCATGTAGTTTTATGAGTAAGCTTCTTGATCATCATCACCATGACTCTATGAGAACATACCTCTCGAAGATCCAAGCATCATACACTGGTGTCCAAACCCCCTCGAAGCCTTTCAACTTCCTGATTCTGGCCCGTACTGCCCCCGACCCCCTGACGCCTGAAACCCACTGATGCAAGCAACCCTGCACACATAGCTCCTAACTGTTCGGGACAGAGGCAGGTCCCTCACACACAGCACTGCCATGCGAAGCTGTTTCCCCTGAATACCGTCTGTGGTGTAGCAAGGCCGACTCGGACTCTTGAAGGATTTAGGAACCACCCAAAGAGCCATGGGCTGACGTCAAAACAAGGCCTGAGTCCTGGCGAAGCTTCTGCAAGGCCTGCGACTTTGCAAAGGCCACAAAGCAATGTCAGGGCAGCGCGAGGGGGGGGTCGCAACCCACGCGGATGGCCGATGATGCCCTGTGTTAAAATCCTTACAACTGCACAGCGCAACTGACCCCCCACCAGAAAGGTCCTTCAGCTAGTCTTGCGCAAAGCACAGTTGCCTGAATCCAGTATAAGGCTCTGGAAACAGGTATCGCAAACACCGCGCAACATTTAGGCAGCAGAGACACATGCCTAGGCAGCAGAAACGCATGCTTGAACATCCCATGCTGCGACGAAGTATGTAGCAGCGCTCGCACTGTTTGATCTGCACAAAATACTACAAACATACTTTCCAAACAAGTTGTTCAGAGCAGGTAACTGGGGAGCCATGCACCCGTAATACGAACAAAAGCACAACATGATGAAATGATATACATATACATGCTACCCCCTCCTGGGTTATCCACGCTTCTTGTGTTTGCGAGCCAAATAGATCGTTTCATGGACCGCGGTGACCCCTGAACCCCCCCCACCCCAAGCATGAGACCAGCAAACAAAGTAGTACCCGCACGAAAAAGTAACCCAACCCCCTACATAACATAAATGTATGCAACATGTGAGATGTTGAGTCTTCTCCATCCAAACACTAGACACAGCGACCTCCACCCATCCCACCCTTCCGCTCCGCTGCGCTCCCTGGTTTTGTGGTTTTCAGGGCTTATCTCTAAAACCCTATCGGTTATAGAGTTTAGGGTTAAACCTGGAGCCTAAACCTTTTAAGACCTATAGGGTTTCAAGGTTCAGCAATGACAAAGAAACCCTTAACCTTTAAATCCTATATAGGCTTCAGGTCTTAAACCTAAGCTCATAGAGTTTAAACCTTAAGGGTTTACATTCTCGGCATTTAAACCTGAACCCTAAGTGCTTTAGGGTCAGAGAAAGCCTGTAGGGCTCTAAAGGGCTCAAAAGTTTTAACCTTATGCGCGCTGAAGGTACACATGCCCAGACCTTGAGTTTTTAAACCTTGAAACCCCATAAAGTTTAAAGGTTTAGGGGATTTTCATGGTTTATCTCAAAAACCCTCACAGGGTTAGCCCTATAGGGTTTAAACCCTTTTACCCCCAGCCTTACAACCCTATAGGGCTTGAGGCTTAAATCCCTAAACCTTGAATCCCATAGGGTTATGCCTCTGTTTATGGGGCTTGCCTCCTCTGGAAATGCAAAGAAAAAGCAGAACAAGTACCCACGTCATGTATAGGGTTTAAAGGTTTAGGGTCATTCAAGGTTTATCTCTAAAAACCCTCACAGGGTTCGCCCTATCGGGTTGAAACAGGGTTCAAAGGTATATGGTTTAAGGTTTAGGCATTGCCTGTAGACTTAGAACCTTATATCATAGTTTAGAAAAACCCCCCCCCTCAGCAACCCCCCCCCCCCCCAGGCCCCCATCCTTACTGCGCACGACAGGCCTTTTGCTAATTAAAACGCGCAACGTCGACTGGGCCTTTGTTACCCCTGCGAATTGAAGACTGTTCGCTTGGGGGGGGGGTGTCGTGTAACCAGGACTGCGTTCGCTAATGGCGAATAGCAGTCAGCAGTGCTAATAGCTAGCTAATAGTGCAGAAGGGTCGTGTGGCTATTAGCTGCTATTAGCTGCCCAATAGCCAGCTAACAAAAAACAGACTTTTGTGAAGCCTGGGAGGGGGGTTTCTTTGGGGGGGGAGGGGGGTGTTTCCAAACTATGATTATAGCCCTATGTACGACTGACCTTTATGTACTATTTGATGGTTGTGTTTCCCCTTTCAAATCTTAAGGGTGTTAAGGGATTGAAAAGGCCCCTTCAATTCTTTCAAACTTTTAAACTGTTGAAAGGCTTCTGGCTTTCAAAATTTAAATGGGTTTAAGGGTTTTAAGAAATTCAAAGCCCACGTAAACTCGCTAAAATCCCCAAAACCTTGAAAAAGTAAATGGGGACAGGCCCGGCTCATGCAAATTGTCAAAAACCCATAGAACCCTTAATGATTTTGAAGGGCCTCCGGCTTTCAAAAATTTTAAGGATTTTAAGGAATTTAAGTGGCCTTTCAAATTCCTTAAACCCTTAACATTTGGAAAAAAATGTTTTGGGGAAAGGCCCGGCCCATTTAAAAATCCTTTAAATCCTTAAAATATTGAAAGGTCTCTGGCTTTCAAAAATTAAGGGTCTTAAGGTTTTGAAGGAACTTAAGTGGCCGTTTAAACTCCTTAAAATCCTTCAAAGCCTTAAAACTTTGAAATATCAAAAAAATGGGGGAAAGGCTCGGGCCATTTTTATCTTTACGATTACTATAATAAAAAACAACCTTAACAACCTCGAAATTGTCGAAACACATAGGCCGGCACAAAACCGGCACAACGCCGGCCACATGGAACCAAGAGCCAAGAACCAAGATTGCAGGGAGGTCTTGCCCTGCAATCTTGGCTCTTTGGTCTTGGAAGCGGGTTATTATGGCCAAGACTTGAAGCGGCAAGCGATTTTGAATCAGAAAATTGAAGACAACACCTGCAGTGAACCATCTTGGTTCCTGGACCTCCTTGCAATATTGGGTCGTACTCCCATACTAATGTTGTCGAACACACATAGGCCGGCACAAAACCGGCACAACAGCACAAGTTGTGCCGGCCCCGTGGAACCAAGAACCAAGAACCAAGATTGCGGGGCAAGACCTCCCTGCAATCTTGGTTCTTGGTTCTTGGTTCCCGTGGGCCGGCACAACTTGTGCCGTTGTGCCGGTTTTGTGCCGGCCCTGTGGAACCAAGAACCAAGAACCAAGCTTTCTGGGTAAGACCTCCCTGCAATCTTGGTTCTTGGTTCTTGGTTCCACGGGGCCGGTACAACTTGTACCGGTTTGTACCGGTCTCTACTGGTGTAATATAAAGATATACCACACATATAGATATTACACCAGATTGAAAGAAAATAGGAATCAACACGCTGGGGCTGGGACAAAGAACACGAATCACGAACCAAGAAATCAAACAACACGCAAAATAAGCAGAAAAGGCGTGGATAACTGGGGGGTACCATATATATATATGAGCCCGGATCCTTCAGGGTTTATTTAGTCTTGAGTTTTTCTTGTTGCTTTGAAATACTAGTGATAATTATGTCTATTGTGTAAGAGTATCCAGCAGCTTAAGACCCGAGTGTTTTATATGAGCACAACTAAAAAAACAATTCCTAAAATAATTCCTAAGGAGGCTATAGGCTCGTGGATTTAGGGTTTAGGAGTTATGAATCAGGGTTTAGGGTTTCGAGAGTTTAGGAAGTTTAGGATTTAGGAATCAGGGTTTTGGTTTCAGTGCTTCAGGGGGCGGGGACAGGCCCTAAACCTAAAACCCCAAACCCACCACCTTAGGATGTTCCACCTTATATTAACAGTCCAATTGGGGATTAGGGTTTTTGGGTTTAGGATTTAAAGTTATAATAGGGGTTACTACAAACCCTATTAAGGACTGTTAGTATAAGGGTGGACATCTCAACCCTAAACCGAACTCCCCCGCGCTTTGTCGCGCCACTCGCGGGCGTGCTTTGTCAAGCGCGGTCTCTGAAGCTTCAGACTGGCGACAAGCAGCCACCCTCACAAATGAGATGTCTAGGGTTTAGGCTTTTAGCTTTAAAAGAATTGTTTAAACTAGAAACTCCCTTGTGCAAAACACAGCCCCCCACTCTCGCAACCCTAAACTCTTGAACCTGAAGCCTTCGTGCTTTGTCGCGCAACTCGCAGGCGTGCTCTGTCAGCCGCGTCCTCTAAAGCTTCACACTGGGAAAAGCAGCCACCCTCACAAATGAAGGGTCTAGTGTTTAGGCTTGAGCTGTAGGAGAAACGTTTACACTAGAAAATCACTTGTGCAAAACACAGCCCCCTCCCCTCACGAAAAAAATATAAGAAGAAGAAACATGAATGTCTAATGGCCGCGCCATTAAATTATTTACATTATTTAAATTATTTAAATTATGTAAATTAATTTAAATCGCCGGAAAACCTGTTCTCCAGAGGATCCCATTTTCCAGATTTCCCTCTATTTCAATTAATTTAAATAATGTAAATATTCTAAATAATTTAATGGCGCGGCCATTAAATTATTTACATCCGGCTGGGCCATTAAATTAAGAGGAAAAGGCTATGGTACTCTACCGAGGCTTCGGCAGTTACAAAGGCAAAGGTTTGCCACTACTGTCATAGGTATGGACACTTTGAAGCACAGTGTAGGAAGAAGCAGATGGACATGGGACAACAGAGTACAACAGGAACCTCAACTCAAGCCCCTTCGTCAGCCTCGAGGTACCAGCAGTCTCAAAGAAGCCAAAGTAGCCAAGGAACCTCCAACTCAAACAAGCCTGTAGTTAGGATGGTTTCGATGCATCACATTGGAGATCCCCCAACAAGTTTCCCGGAAGAGTTTGCGTTAAGCGAGGATTCAGAGGAAATTGAGATTGACTACTTCGGAAGGATCTTGAGAGTTACGTGTGAAGAGAGTCAGGAAGAGAGAAAAGAGACAGAAGAGTTCTGGATAGGAGATGAAGATGAGTCCCAGGAATGTGAAGAACTTGACGACACGCTGTACCATTGGTACGGTGACGAACAGGAACAGCTGTTTGTCAGGACAGCCCGACAGGACCAGTCCCGAGAGATCGAAGTGGTACTGGATTCTGGAGCCGACATTTCGTTGGCACCTATGTGGATGAAAAGATTTGGTAGGAAAGCGCCAGAGAAAGCACAAGTTGTTCTGAGGGATGCTCAAGGTAAGTTGATCAAGGTGTCGGACCAAAGGATCATTGAGGTTGAGTTCAGGACATTTCAGGAGTTACCGTGACTGAGGAAGTGTTCTTGATTTCATCAGTGATTCACCCGTTACTTGCTGTAGGAAAGTTGATGAAGAAAGGTTGGGAGTTTAGGAACGGCACAGCGACAGGTACCGTCCTTACAGAAGGAACAACCAAGATTGCAGTCAACTACAACAACAACTCACTTAC